CGTCGGAGTCCAGCAGGCGCCGGCTGCCNCGTCGCCGCGGCCGCCTGTCGTCGGGCGACACCAGCCTCGGACGGGCGTCTGGCTCGGCGGCGTCGAGCTCGTTTAGCAGCAGCACCGGGCCCGGGCTGCTGCCGCGCAAGACGGCCATGGTCAACTCGGCTGCCGGCACGGCCAACGCGAACGTGGCCACGACGTCGACGTCGACGAACCCCACGGCGACGCCACGCACCAAGCTGGCTGGCAGCACGACCGCAGCCGCCTCGGGAACACCGGGAGGGGCGGCGGGCTCGGGCTCGGGCTCGGGCTCGGGCTCTACCCCCGTACGCTCGTCTGCAGTCGGCTCCACCACGGGGAGCAGCCTTGCCTACGCCACGTCGCCGCGGCGCACCAGCGCCATTGGCGTCGGGTCGCTGCACAACACGCCTCTGCGCGCCCGAGGGGCGTGAGCGTCGAGTGTCCTCGAGGGGCTCCTGCGAAGGTGGTGCAGAGGACCGAGGAGGACGATGGAGGGAGGCCCTTCATAGGCGATAGGGTTTCACGACGACGTTGGATGCCACCACGACCGCTTCGATGATGCCGACGACACCGGGAGGCCAAGCATGGCGGGCATCTCCTGCACGACGGGCCACGATCAGCACGACACGACACCTCGCCTGCCTCTGCCTCCGTGCGTCGCACAGGTCTACGAGCTCTCCGCCTTACTTACAGGCACGATGGCACTCTCGCCCTCGCCCGCGCGCGTACTCTCTCTCTTTCTCTCCTTCTCTCTCTCTCTCTCTCTCTCTCTCTACCTCACTACGTGTCCTGCGCATGCCTTACCGCTCCCTCGCCCCGCTTCGGGAAGCCGACCCCATCTGCCAACTGGCGCTTTATACCACCCCAGGCTGGTGCTGCTGTTGCTGGTGCTGGTGCTGCCGCAGCCGCTTCGCAATCCTTCCCTCTCCTCGCCTCTCTCTTTCTAGCATATCGAGGACCGCCCGTCTCGCCTCGCCTCGCCTCGGCCCTTGCCCCTGCTTTCTCCTCACTTTTTGATCTCCCGCGATGCCTCGTTCGGGCTCCGTCCGTCCGTCCGTCCGTCCGTCCGTCCGTCCTTGGCAGAGGCCATCTTTATACAGCACCCCCTTGCACTCTGGTCTTCGCGGCCCTTTTCATCTCGTCACAGTATATGATCACGAGAGACAAAGAGGGTCAGCCGAAAGCAGCGCGGCGGGGAAAGCAGGCCTGGCCGGCAGGCAGCCCTTTCCGGATTTCGGAACCCTGGCCCAGCGCGGGGCAAGACCCTGCATCGAGCACAGGCAGCGACTTTGCTTGTGCCTGTGTTTGGTGAAAGCGCCGACCTGGCGGCAGCTTTCTCTTTCCTTGCAACATCCATGTCCTATCTCACCATCTCCTGACCCCTTGCTGGCACACATTCCCCCTGCAACACTGTTCTCTGCACATCGCTCGCCTGTGTCTGTCAGGACCGCCATGGAGCCTCTCGTCGGGTCGGACCCTGAAGCCGACGGTCCTGCTACAGCACTCGTCTGCAGCCTCGAAGCCGCCGAGGAATGATACTACCATCTCAGCGCGCATCAGAAACACTGTGTCCTGAGCGAGACGTCCTCGGTCTCGCAGACACGGTCATCCATGCACTCTCTTTTCCTATCTGGTTCCGTCGATGTCAACGACGGCTCTTCATCGACCTCACACAACATCGACGCACACATCACCAACCTTCTCTCGCTCGATGGTCGGCTCGACCCGGCTCGATACACGAAACCCCTTCTTGACAGCGAAGTGCGAGCGATCTTCACCTACGATACCGAATACGTCTCGGACTTTCTGAGATTCGCCCGAATCAGCTCCGCGCCCCCTCCGTCGGTCTCGTCGTCCTCGCAGGACCAGACGGGCACCGCGCCCAAGTACCCGACCACGGAAGTCTACGCCACCTTCACACTTGAAGATGACGGCAATGGATGGGCGATCCACTTTGAACACACCGCCGAGCATCCGCTTCCTATCGTGATCTCGGAACTGTGCATTCCGGGGAGCAAGGCCCAGTGCAGACCCTTGGTTGAAGCAGATCGAACCGTCGGGATTAGGTTCGTCGACATCGCTCATGGCGGCGGCGCGAGCTGCCCCGTGCTCCAGTTCGGCAAGCACGAGGTGCACCTCCAAGCCGTCGTCGAGGCGCTCTTGACGCTCATGATGGACACAATCGCACGAGAAACGCCTGGCGGGCTCGTCGACCTCAACGGCGCCTCGCTCGTGCACTCTTCCTCGGCGCAGAAGGCTCACAAGAGCGAGACCAAGGGACGTACCGACAACGGAGGCCTCGAACGAGCCCGCTCCGACACGCTCCTCATGCCCAAGGGGTGCAATGGCTGGGGGGACGCCTTGGCCATCCTCGAGTTCAAGCACCGTGCGGCCAGACGCGATCCCCGGCTCGATAGCGTCAAGAGGCGCAAAACAACCTCTAGCAGTGGCGCGGCGAGTAGTAGCTCCTCGTCGTCCTATGCTGCAGGCGAGGACGCAGTGACCATGTCCGAAGGCGGCGACCAGGAGATCGGCAGGTTCGACGACGCCAACCGCAGGCGAAAGTCGCACGCTCAGGGCGTCGGCGACCTTGCACAAGTGGCGACCTACATGCTGGCGGTAATGAGCTCGCGGCCGGGACTCTTCTCGACGTACAGCATCTGTATCAATCGGACGCACATGTCGGTGTATTACTTCGATCCGGACCAGCTCCACCTTATCGATCACTCGCGGCTCGATGGCGATGGCCTCGCCCTCATCAAGGTTGCGATGCTGCTGCTAGGGCTGTGTGCGGAGCACGTTTCCCGCTACAGTAGCGTGCGCCGTGCGGTGGCTGTCACCCCAGAGAAGACCCTCTATGTGCAGCTCCCCGACGAAGACTCGACACCCGACAGGGGCTACGACGTCATCAAGCTTCAGGAGCCCGCCGAGATGCTATTTTGGCGCCGAGGTGCGCTGACACATCGCCTCACACAAGTCATGAAGGGTGAGATCGAGCTCGAGGGCCGCGGCGCGCAGACGGCAGTCATCAAGGTCAGCTTTCTCGTCGACGACGACAGGTTTACCGAGGGCCGAGCCCTTCGCCTCCTTAACGCGCCGCCTGAATCTGGCTCCAAGGAAGACAACGAGGAGTTCAAGGTGCGGCAGACAGGCTATCCGCAGCTCGTCACCCACGGCACCCTGCATTTCAGCATGAAGGAATCCGGTCTGCACTCGTTTGAGAACCCTTTCAACGCCGACTCCAAGCGGGGACATCCCGGCCCAAGCGCTCCGCACAGCCATGACCTGAGCGTCGATCAGCGCAACCTGCTCTTCACGCACACGACTGCCGCGGGTCGCAGACCGACCATGGTCGTGACCGAGCACCGCGAGGCGGTCGACCTTCCGCGCGTCAAGCGGCCCTGGCTGCTCGCGGCCATCATCGCTGATGCCATCCTCACCCTGCACACGGTCGGTCGTCGTCGCAACGTTGCACACGGTGACATTTCGAGCGGCAACATCCAGTTTGTACCGCCTGACCCCTCAGCCAAGTGGGTGCCGACGTCGCAGCTGGTCGCTGAGCGCGTTCCGGGCGTCGGGCTGGAACCGAGCTTCTTCCACCCGACCCACCCGCCGATCGCCTTGCTCATCGACTTGTGCGAGGCCTGGATCGACGGCAAGCAGGGCCAGGGCACGCAGTCGGAACGCAAGGCCTTCTCGGGCACGGAGGCGTTTTGGTCGTTGAAGATGTACGAGAACCGTCGCATCCATCGCGAGACGCTGCAAGGCAGAGAGCTCAACGCCGTCTCGGACGAAGTGGAAGCCGCGGACCTGCGAGCAGAGCTGGCCCAGTTGCAACCGCTGGACGTCAATGACGACATCGAGTCGTGCCTGCTCGTTCTCTGCTACGAGCTGGCCAACAGGTTCAAGCTGTCCCATGCGGGCAAAGGCTCGTTTGCTGTCGCTGTTCCCCTCACACAGTACTGGTCCAGCTTGCCTGCCGACGAGCGGGTGTACAGCTTCGGCGGGCCTCGCGGCCGGCAGTTCTTCATCAGCACCCACTTCAGAGCTCCGACACATCACGGCAGCAGCAGCAGCGAGGCAGAAACGCGATCAAGGCAGCTAACTCTGGCGAGAGAGGCACTGGTCCGCTGCTTTGATCTGTGCGGCAACGGTGGCAAGGCGGTCGAAAAGGCTGCGCCTGAGCTTGTTCGTATCTTGCGCCAGCTGTCGATGGCGTTGTACACGGCCGCTTCCTCAGCCGAGCAGGTACCGAGCCAGCGGGAGGTCGCTGAGTCAGCTCACGGCGGGACAGGAAGCTGAGGGCCGGGCATATCAAGGCGATGCACACTCGGCACATCATCCACGTTTTCGTCATCGATGTTCAGATGTATATTTCGGCAATACACAGAGCCTGACGGACGGTATCCATCATCACTTGACATCTCCCTTGGCATCTTTCATCTCGGCTGCGGGTGAGGCGGCTGCCCTCAACGACGCGACGGCGACCGCCCCAGCCTTATCGTCCGACCCACCGACCTGCTCGCCATCGTCCGAGATAAAGGCGTCGGGGAGGCGGGTGAGGGACGCGCGGGCCTCGATCGAGCCCATGACCTGGTCCATCTGCTCGAGGCTCAGCAATTTCGTCTCTGGCCAAAAGAGGAAGACGGTGATCTGTTCAGGGGGTCCGACGCCGAGGTGCAGACACTCGGGTCAGCGTGGGGTCGAGCGAGCGAGAGGGAGGGCCGAAGGCGAGAGGTGGGCACTCACGAATGTGACAGTGTTGATGCCGAGCATGACCCAGTACAGTCGGAAGGTGAGGGCGTCGCTGAGCACGGGCCAAAGCTGGTTGACGACGATGACGGTGATAAAGAGGCCGAGGAACGAGACCGAGATGCCAAAGTCGCGCAGCGCCTGGGGCCAGATTTCGGCAGAGAGGACGATGCAGGCCGAGCCGAGGGCGCCGGCGTAGGCGCACTGGATGGCAAAGATGCAGATGACCATCCACACGCCCGCGCCGCGGTTCTGTGCGTCGGGCCAGCGCTCAAACAGGGCGCCGAGGAAGAGGTATCCGATCCACGCGACGGCGATGCCAAAGAGCATGATGTTGCGGCGGCCCCAGCGGTCCGAGAGGAAGAGGGGCATGAAGCACGCGACGAGCTGCAGGCTGCCGCCGAGGCCGTTGATGATGAGGCTGAGCTGCTTGCCTCCGAGGTTGAGCGACTGGAAGACGGTGATGCCATAGAGCATCAGCGCGGCTACGCCCGTGAGCTGGGCAAAGATGCACGAGCCTGCGCCGATGAGGATGCGGCGCCACACGTTGCGCTGGCGGAGGAGCTGCAGCGGCGAGCCGTAGATGGCGGCGGCACGCTGGCGCATCACGTCGGTCTGCATCGCCGTCCACTCGCCCTCGAGCCGGACGTCGCCTTCCGGCAGCTTCCGCAGCGAGAGATGGTTGTCGCGCGCAAGACGGACCTTGGGGTCGAGCATATCGGTCGGGTCCTCGGCGCGGTTGAGGAGCTGCCGAGGCGATTCGGGTGCCAGGAGCGTGCAGACGAGGAGGATGGCGCCGAACGCCATCTGGATGGCCGTCAGCGTGCGCCACGAGAGGTTGTTGGGCAGCTTGGCGGTCCCCAGCGAGATCCAGAACGCCACAAAGACTGGCGGTATCGTGAAGCGGCGGCGATCAAGGAAGGCGATTGGTAGGGGGAGCGACGTCGGGTCAGCGAAATTGGCGAGACCATGCAAGCTGCTGTCACGCTCGGCCAGCCCTTCTCACCTCCGATCTGGTAGGATACCTGGACCAGCGCGATTGCGGTGCCTCTGATCTCGGCAGAGGCGATCTCGGACGTCCACGCTGCAAAGGTGCCCTGACACAGAGAGACGCCAAGGCCGCTGTCGGTAAGGGTTGAAGGGCGGCAAGAGGGGACCGAACAGCCGGTTTCAGCATGGGCACGACGCGACGGACCGGTCAGCAAGGATGCGCGTGCCGGACACCCACCAAAGCACGCGGCCGACGAGCAACATCGCCTCGTTTCTCGAGCCCGCAACGAGTGAGGCGCCGGCCATGAGGGCGAGGTCGCCGATGACCATGGTCCAACGCCGGCCGAACCACTTGCTGAAGAAGACGAGGGGACCGAGGTAGGCGAGGCAGTTGCCGACGTTGATGAGCGAGGCGAACGCACCCTTCATGCTGGCGCTGAGGTGGAAGGTGTCGATGAAGCTCTGGTCGGCGATGACGGCGGCCGCCGACGCCGTGTCGTAGCCGGAAAAGATGTTGGCCGTCGCCAGCGTCGCGCAGATGAGCAGCGTCTTGGCGTTGCCCGATAGCTCGGTCGTGGGACGCCACATCGTTGAGGTCTTGGAAGGGTTTTGAGGCGAAGGAGGAAGAAGGTGTGGGGGGGGGGGGGGTAAAGTCGTCGTCCGACCGACAGGCAGGGTAAACGTCAAGCGATGTTGTGGCAAAGCGCGGCAGCCCAGTCGTTTTATACAGGTCAAGCGCCCGAATGCTGGCGACCTGGTCAGCCGGTGCGTAGAGGGACTGGCTCCGAGTGTAATCGTGAGCTCGAGCATGAGCCAGATGGGCAGGATCGAGGCTCGGTCTGGCAAGGCAAGCAAGGGTGCGAATCCGCTGGCGGAGCCAGTGATTGCGGGGTCACTCGTAGGTGCGGGCGGTCGAGAGCGGCATACCGCCGGTGCCGCTGGGCTCACGGCGGCGGTCGGTCGACTTGCTCCCACGAGTGCGGGGTTGCTGTGCCTGCTCACACCGTGTGCGCCGGTCCCGGCATGTCCCCACAACCACCATCTCGTCGTCGTCGCTCGCCTTGCGTGGCGTTCGGCAATCTCGTCTTCTTGTAGACAATGGACAGCCATTGTCGGCCAACCTTAGCGTGTTTTCATGCTGGCCGCGCTATTCCACAGCCGCGCGCGCATAGATTGCCGAAGCCATCGCTACGTTCGCCCTGTCGCCGCACCATCATCATCCCGTAGCGTATGCGATCCATCATCGTACCCCGTACGCACGAGGCTGCCGCCTGTCGAGCAACACGAGCGCCGATCTTTTCCCCGAACTTGGTCAGAGCTGCAACCGCCTCGAGGCCTGCTTTGCCACCCGCCAGCGAGCTTAAGTTCGTTTCGAGATCGAGCCAGCGCAGGCTGGCCTAGGTCATCCCCCCTAACGACCTGCTTTAAACGCCATCACCACGAGCAGCCTGGCACCACCTCCCGTCATCCCTTCGGCCACCGCCCTCATCGCGACAGCTGACACCCCACCCAACACCATGGCCGGCTGCTACCCACAGGAAAAGTTCCGCAGCGCCCAGCTCGAGCCGGATTCCTTCTGGGATCGCTGGCAGCGCGCCGCCTGCCACTCGACGATCCCCGTACAGCTGGACCTACTCAAACGCACCGGCCGCTACGACGCCTTCAACCTCAAGCACATCCCCTACTACGACCAGGAGCCCACCATCTGGCCCGTCCCGGACCACCTCTTCTGGGAGTCGGACGTGGCCAAGTGGGTCGAGGGCGTCTGCTACCACCTCCAGTCCCGCAAAGACGCCGACCAGGGACTGAGGCAGCACGTAGACTACCTCGTCGACCTCATCGTCAGCGCGCAGCAACCCGACGGCTACCTCAACATCCATTTCGTCGTCGTCGAGCCCGAGAAGCGCTGGTCCAATCTGCGCGACCTCCACGAGCTCTACAATGCCGGCCACCTCATCGAGGCCGCCCTGGCCCACCACCAGCTCACGGGCTCGTCCAAGCTCATCGACGCCATGCTGCGCTTTGTGTCCTATTGCTGCACCATCTTCCCTCAAAAGCTAGCAGGATATCCGGGTCATCCCGAGATCGAGCTGGCCCTCCTCCGCCTGTACCACCGCACCCGCCGGCCGCAGTGCCTCGAGCTTGCCGCCTACTTCCTCACCGAGCGCGGCAGGGACGGCGGCCAGTTCTACAAGGACGAGCAGGCCAGGCGCGGCGAACACAAGCACACCATTCCGGGCATGATGCCCAAGCCCTACAGCTTTTGGTACATGCAGGCGCACCAGCCCATCGCCGAGCAGCAGACCATCGAGGGCCACTCGGTGCGCGCCATGTACCTCCTCACCGCCGTCGCCGATGTGACGGCCACTCCCGAGGCAGTCTCCCGGGTGGGTGGCCAGGATCAGCTCGATGCGCTCAAGGCCGCCACGTCTCGCCTCTGGAAGAGCATGGTGCACACCAAGATGTACGTCACCGGCGGCATCGGCAGCATCAAGCAGTGGGAGGGCTTCGGCCTGCCCCACTCGCTGCCCAACAGCACCGATGAGGGCGGGTGCTATACCGAGACTTGCGCCGGCATCGGGCTCCTGATGCTCGCCGACCGCATGCTCCACGCCTCGCTCGATGGCCGCGTGGCCGACGTGGCGGAGCGCGTGCTGTACAACTCGAGCATCACGACGGGCATGTCCGAGGACGGCAGGGCGTTTACCTACGTCAACCAGCTCGCCAGCAGCGCCGAGGAGCCGTGCAGGCGCTTCGAGTGGTTCGAGTGCGCGTGCTGCCCTCCCAACGTGATGCGCACCTTTGGCTGCCTCCAGGGCTACTTTTTCGGCTCCCTCGTCGACCGCCCGCTCGATCTGGCCATCCACCAGCTGTTTGCCGGGTCCGTCGTGCACGAGGGGACCAAGGTGTCGCTGCGCACCGCGTACCCGGACGATGGCCACGTCGAGATCGACGTCGAGACGCTCCCTGCCGGGGCGACGGTCTGGGTCCGCGTGCCCGGCTGGGCAAAGGGGCACACCTTGTCTAGCGCCGATGGCGACGCCAGATCTTCTGAGCTGACGTCCGGTTATCTGTCCATCACCGCTCCCGGGCGCTACACGCTCGAGATCCAGCTCGAACCTCGTATCCTTGTTTCGCATCCGGACACGGGTGCTGCGCGGGTGACGCTGGCATACGGTCCGCTGATCTACTGCATCGAGGATGTCGACAACGGCTGGGTCGATGCGCTCCCGCCGGCTGAACAGCACTTCAAGCACACCTCGGTCTCGCTCGCGGACCTCAGGAAGGCGGAGAAGGTATCGGTCGACGGCCACACTGCGTTCCGCGCGCCCCGCGCCGGGTACACGCTCGACGTGGATGACGACGCGGCGTACGCCTCGGCGTTTGAGCTCGACCAACGACCGTCGTACCGTGAAGCCGAGGGGGAAGGCCACGACCTCGTCCTTATCCCTTACTACTGGAGGTGCAACCGCAAGTCGACCAAAGGTCGCATGCGCACTTCGCTCCTGCTCAAACAGTGTTAACTCGAGCGAGGGAGGCAGGCGAAGCAGCGTAGCGTAGCCAGTTGCAATATAGAGTCTGGATCGATGCCGAATCGACCTCTTATTGACCAGATTGTGGGCCCATGTCAAGGCCGAGGTACGGAAGCGGTACCGTCTCGCTCCAAGTCGACGTCGAGCAGAGCATTGCGGCCGGAGCGAACCTGGGAAGCTGTGCGGGCGTGCGTCGCTTCCGATACGGAGTTCTCGAGATGTCCGAAGGATGGAGTTGTCCGCCTACAGTGGCGTGCACGCCATTGGGCGTGCAAGGCCAGGCCGGGTTGCGTGTACGTGCGCTATGCGAGGTGCGCAACCCCGGAGGCTAACACGGCTCAGCAGGCTAGTAAGTGTGATGCGCAAGGTCCGTCGGGGCCGGCCAACTTGGTCCGGGAATCTCCCCCTGTCGCCCCGCAACCCCAGCCTCTTCCCCGCCTTCCACTTCGGCTGTTGCAAGATCGCCCCTTGTTTCCGCACCACCACCAGCACCACCATCTACCCCCGCAAGGAACCGAACTCGGCTCCTTCATCGCAGGTCGCATGGCAGGTGCAACGAAGATGTCCGAGACGAGCACGACCCCATGGCAACCCGACCTTGTCTGCGTGCTGGAGATGCAAGCGCCAGTGAGGATGACTTGTGGGCTTCCATCCCCGGTGATCCGGGGCCTCGAACGGCTCGTGGACGGATGGCAAGAGAGGCGGACAGTGCTCTGATGAGGTCGCGTATGTACGGACACCGTCTTGGACGCGGAGATACGACGGCCGTCGCTGGCGGGGTCCGGAGAGGCAGGGGTGATGTGGGGAAGATGACGGCGGCGCGATGCAGCATCGTGTCCTAGGCGATGATCATCATCGGTCCAGCTACGCTGTGGCCTCGTTGCGGCGCTCTTGTGCCGATCCGCTCGCGGGTGGGCGGATCGACGGGTATATAGAGCCGCGAGGAGCCCCATCGTGGTCCGACGAAAAGGGGCTCGACTGCACCTTGCCTTTCTCTCCCTCTCCTCGCTCGTCATCATCCCACTCGCATCGACCATGAAGTACACCAGCATCGCTTCCGCCTTCGTGCCCCTCCTCGCCGCGGCCACTGCGGGCGCGCTGCCCGTCGACCAGGACAAGGCCGACGCCCTGGCCAAGAGGGCGACCGACACCACGGCCATCAACCTCGACCAGTGCAGCGGCACGCCGCAGCACTATGCCTCGGGCGTCCTCTACGGCGTCAGCGGGACCAACACGCCGCCGCAGTCGTGTGAGTCTCTGTCGCTTTCGTCTCGCCGCGCTAGCCGCGCCCTGGTCGAGGGAAGGGCATCAACCCGCTGACTCTCCTGCCCACCTCGTCTGCATCATCGCTCGACAACAGACCTGCAGGATCTCAAGATCAACTACCTCTCGGTCGGAGGCGCGCAGACGCCCACGTCGGGCTGGGGCGCCAGCAAGGCGGCCTACCAGTCTCGCTTCGCCACCGTCGTGGCCGACTGGAAGCGCATCCGGGCCAACAACGGCGTCCTCATCATCAAGACGTCGGACCTGTGGGGCGCCGACGCCACCCAGCCGTCCAACTTTCCCTATCCGGGCGACAACGGCGACTGGAAGTCGTACGACGCCTTTGTCCAGCAGATCATCGCCGACGTCAAGGCCAACGGCATGGCCAACAGCTACACGACCCAGATCGAGATCTGGAACGAGCCCGACCTCGGCACGACGTTCTGGGGCAGGAGCCAGGACCAGTACCTCGAGATGTACCTGCGCGGCGTGCGCGCCTTCCGCGCGGCGTTCGGCAAAGGCAGCGCGGCCTACCTGCCCATTGTCGGGCCGAGCACCGCGGGCCGTCCCGAGTCGACCAACGCGTGGATCGCAAAGTGGCTCTCGACGCTGCAGTCCAACAAGGATGCGACGCCCGACATCTACAACTGGCACCTCGAGGGCAACGACCGCAACGACCCCGTCGTCTCGACGGGCTACCTGCGCGGCCGGCTGTCGGAGCTGGGCCTGAGCGCGGGCATCGGCTTCCAGAACAACGAGTACGGCGTGCGCAGCCAGCAGAAGCCCGGGTACGGGGCTTGGTTCGCCGCCCGCTTCGAGAAGGTCAAGCACAACGGCATGCGAGGCAACTGGGCGTCGGGCAACCTGCTGCGCGACAACCTGGCCGACCTGCTACTCAAGGACGGCCAGGGCGCCTACCACACGACGGGCGAGTACCAGGAGTGGAAGACGTACGCGGGCCTCGAGGGTGCCCCATGCGGCACGACGACCGGCAGCTCGGTCGACTCGTACGCCGTGTCGTCTTCGGGTGCCAGGTCGGCGTCTGCGCTGGTGGGCAATGCGGGCTTCACGGGCAGCGCCAATGTGGTGTTTGCCAAGGTGTCGTCGCTGGCCAAGGACGCCAAGCGGTACCAGGCCAAGGTGGAGCGGATCCCGTACAACGGCGGCAAGGAGGTCACGGGGCTGACTGCGGTGTCGACTTCGACGGTCGACGTGGCCAATGACCGGATCAGCGTGCCGATCGACTATGCGGATGCCGATGACGCCTACCTGGTGACGATCACGGCTGCCTGAGGGTCGGGCGTGTTTGTTGGTATGAATGAGATTGCGATTCGAGAATGGAACGGTGCTGCGGTGATTGCAGTCGGTGTGTCGCCGTGCACGGGAAAATAGAATGACGAGAATGAGGGTGGTGATGGTGATGGTGATGGTGATGGTGATGGTGATGGTGATGGTGATGGTGATGGTGATGGTGATGGTGGTGGCCGTGATGTCCATTCCAAAAAAAGGAAAGACGGGTCGAGGTGGGCTTGGTTGGGCCAGGTGGCGTGCGTGAGCCTGGCGGGCCCCCTTGCTTGGCTGGCTTGCTCTCGTATCGATGAGGGGGCACCGAGGCAGTGGTGTGGCACCTGTCAATCCGGCCAAGCTGGGCTGTCGCGGGGGGCTCGCTTGCAAGAAGAAGAAGCAAGCAGGCAGGCCCGCAGGCAGCAAGGGCGGCGGGCCTGCGACGCTGCCCGCGCGCGCGCGCCAGGAGAGAAAGAGAGAGAGAAAGAGGTCCCTGGCTCAAGAGTCGCAGGTTGCCCGCCTGCGTGGGCTGCCTGCCTGCCTCGCTCTGGGTGTTGGATGCCGCACGCACGCACCCACCCACCCGACCCACGGCGCACCCTCAGGGCCCTCACTTAGTCTCTCGCTCTCGACGGCCGGAGCCAGACGACCACCACCACTCTGCCCTTTGTTCCTCGACCTGCCTCCGTCACCTTCTACGCCCGCGAACCAATCCTCAAGCCGGCATCCCTCTTTGTTCATCGGCACACGCAGCTCCACCATCTAATCGCTTTCCCTCTCTCCCTCGATATCTCTCTCCGCCAGCCATCTCGACATAAACTCACCTACTACCGGACAACGACCTCGACTCGCTCAGGCCCATGCTCTGATCATCGACTCGACGCGCTCCGCTTCCAGCATCGCCGATCCCCCCCCGCGTCACTCATCGTCATCAGACACAACGGCCTGGTCCGCCGTTCTACACCCATCCCTCATCACCACGCCAGCTGGCCCTTGCTCCATGGCGTCCGCCAACCACACTCGTTCGCCTCTGCTCTAGTCCTGCAGTCACAGCCGCTCGCATAGCACTGCACCGTCTCTCTCTTGCACCGGACCGCTGCACCATCTCGACTTTCCCTCTCTGCCCGACTGGGCTCGCCACCCGCACGCTCATTCCGACGTCGGTCTGCCAACCTGGCCCAGCCACGCTACCTTCCGCCGAGGCACCGCGCTCAGCAAGAGTGGCCTGGCTGGCCGCCCAACCCGTCATCCTTGCCTCTTCTGCCCTCCGCTCGAGCACCAGCTCCGCCTAGTTCATACACGATCGTCTCTCATAACAGGCCTCTTGCGGCTCCCCCCTTGTGCGGGACCGTCGGCCCACCATGGACTCGATCTTTGGACGCAAAAAGAGGTCGCGGCAGCTCACCGGCGACCCCGCAGATAAGGCCGTCCCATATGAGCGCACCGTCAGCGGTCGGAACCCTATCCCCGTAGACACCATAGGCGGCAGCGGCGGAGGGCCAAGCGAGAACCGCCTCAGGATCGGCAACCCGAGTGGCAACCCTGCCCTCGGAGGCGCAAACGGTGCACGCATCAGCGGCTACGTGAGTGGCAAGTCTGCCTGACACGCGGCGATCATCAGAGAGCGACGAGCTCGGCGCTGACCATGCTGCTTTCGAGTGCTTCCTCGTTTCTCGACACACATGACCAGAGCGAAACGGCTGGCGGCTCCTCGTATGGCCCCTCGCGCAGCAGTGCAGGCAGCGGTTTCGACGACTTTGGCTCCTACGGCGTCCCTTCGACGTCGAGCATCTCGCACATCTCTGCCGGCGGCGGCAGCCAGGGCCGCATCTCAGCCTCGTCTTCCCGGCACCTGGGCGCCCACGACTCTTATCTCTCCACGGCCAACGGCTCCCGATCCTCGCGCTACACTTCGGGCACCACGGTCAGCGATGGTGGACGCTACGCTGCCTCGTCGTCGGCGCACGACGCCGTGGGCCGCATGTCGACTGCGTCGACCATCGCCTCCTCTGCCGAGCCCGCAGGGATGCCGGGGATGCATTCGACCATGCCCTCGGTCTCGAGCGGCATGTCGAGGGACTCTGCATCGCACAGCACGCTGTCGGCCACGCAGGCCAGAGCGCCCGACTTCCACCTGCAGCGGCCGCACGACGCCGAGGTGGAGCGCCTGTTTGCCGAGCTGATGGACAAGCGCGACTTTCTCAACGTGCCAGGCGGCAACCTCTCCGACGAGCTCAAGGAGACGGCGCGGCGCAACATGCTCGGCTTCAGCGTCGACAAGAAGTGGACGCTGGTCTACAACGACAAGCTCACCGAGTGGCACGCCGAAAAGGAGCGCGACCGCAACCGCCGCCAGCATGCGGGGCCCGGCGGTCCCGGCGGCGCGGGCGGCTCCATGGTCATCACGCGCAACTCGCCAGAGTGGTTCATCAAGAAGTTCATGGACGGCACCGTCACCACCAAGCACATCGAGTCGCTGGCGGTGACGCTGCGGACCTGCGCCATTGGCTGGATCCAGAGCTTTGTCGAGGCCAAGGGAACGCCCGTGCTGGCCAGCTTCCTCGGCGGGCTCCACGCCAAAGGCATCAAGAACGACAACGACGTGGCGCTCGAGTACGAGGTGCTCAAGGCCTTCCGCTCGCTCTTTAACTCGAAGCCGGGCGCCAACGACGCCCTGGCACAGCCAAAGTGCATCAGCGGTATCGCCCACTCGATGATCTCGATGCACCTCGCCACACGCAAGCAGGCCGCCGACATCCTGCTCTTCCTGTGCCACTGGGACAAGCCGACCGGCCACCGGCTCGTCCTGCGCGGGTTCGACGACCTCAAGACGTCGCAGGGCGACCACGGCCGCTTCGACGCGTGGTTCCGCATCCTCGAGCAGACCATCGACGGGCGCGGCAAGATGGGCAGCATGGTCGGCGCCTCGGACGAGGTCAAGAAGATGAGCGTCGTCGGCCCGCAGGAGTCATCGCTCAACGAGTACGCCATCAACAACATGTTCCTGATCAACGCCATCCTCAACGCCGACATTGTGTCCGAGTTTGAGGTGCGGGTGCACCTGCGCAACCAGATGGAGGCGAGCGGCCTGCAGCGCATCCTGATCAAGATGCGCGCATTCAAGAATCCGGACCTCGACGCCCAGATCCTGGCGTACGAAAAGGCGGCCGAGGCGGACCACGAGGATGTGGTCGAGACCTTCAACCGCGAGGTGCTCACCGACCTGAGCGACCCGGTTGACGTCTTCAAGGCCATCGTGGGCAAGGTGCAGGGCTCGCGTGCCTACGACTTCTTCCTCTCGGCGCTGCAGCACCTGCTGCTGATCCGGCAGGAGGGCGACGGCCTGGTCCACTACTATCAGCTAGTCGACTCGATGGTGACCTCGGTCGTCATGGACCGCAAGGGCGCCGTTGAGAACAACGACCTCTCTTCTCTCCTGGGCGTCTCGGTCAACAACGTCATCTCCCGCTTTGCCGATCAGGATCACATCAACTCGATCCAGGCGGAGCTGCAGAAGACCAAGGCCCGGGCCAACGCGCTCGAGCAGGAAAAGGCCGCGCTCGAGGCCAAGCTCAATGCAGGCTCGGACGGCCTCATCGGCCAGCTGCAGGAGAGGATCGAGAAGCTCGAAGAGGATCTGCTCGTCGCGCGGGGCAATGCCGGCGCTGCCCGCGACGAGATGGACGACATGGAAAAGGCCTACATCGACCGTGTCGTGGCGCTCGAGATTCAGATCCGCGAGCTGTACGACATGCTCAAGGAGGCACAGATGGACGTCAGCGATGTGGCTGCGCCCGGCAAGGGCAGCCTGGACCGCAAGCAGCTGGTCGACACGCTAGAGAAGCAGCTCGAACGCAACCGCACAATCCGCAAGCTCGAGGCGAATGCGCGGAAGAACAAGAAGCAGCCCGCCGCCGCCACCGCCGCTGCCGCCGCAGGCTCGCCGCCCGTGCCACCGCTGCCAACGGTCGAGGATGACCGCAAGAGGATATCCGCCTCTGTCCGTCGTCAGTCCAAGCTCGGACGCGAGGCGATCGGCCGATCGAGCGCGTCGACGGCAAAGCCCGGTGATGAAGATGAAGTTGAGGAGGACGAAGGAGACGACGGCGCGGCGAACGAGGACTCGGAGGCAGAAAGCCAGGACGTCGACCCCGAGGCGGCCAAGTGGAAGATCCAGGCCACGCTGGCGGCGGGCATGGCGCAGAACAGCGATCTGGCCTCGCGCATGACGGATGCGCGCGATTCTCGCAGGAAGAGGACGGCGGCGGCGCAGCTAACGTCCTCGCCGGAGATCAAGCGCACGTCGTACCCGGCCGTCAAGACTCTGCTCGACGAGATCCGCAAGCAGCGTGGCGAAGATTCGGATTCGGACGACGAGGTGCTTCCGCGCAGGCGCAAGCCTGCCTTGGTCGATGCTGGCGTCGAGACCGGCCCGACGTCGCCGACACTGGGAACGGTTGTCGAAGAGGCCGTGGCACCGGCTGCTCCGACGGCGGCAGAGACAGAACCCGCGACTCCTCCCCCGCCTCCGCCACCTCCGCCGCCGCCACCGCCGCCACCGCCGCTCCCACCATCTCTGGCTGCATCGACGGCAGCAGCTGCGGCAGCGATGAAGGATGCCGCACTGATGCCCCCACCCCCTCCACCACCACCGCCTCCGCCCATGGTGTCCGCCGCCACGGGTATCGCGGTGCCGGACTCGGCCGCGGCGGCCAAGTCGGCCTTCTCGACGCCCGGATCCTCGCGTCCGCCGTCCGTCGTCGGTCTCGGTGCCGAAATTCCCATCCCTCCACCGCCTCCGCCCCAGTTCGGCGCGGGCTCGGTGGCCAACTCGCCCAGCATCTCGTCCTCGGTGCACGGCTCGCAGCGCGACTCGATGCTCAACATGCGCGCGTCGTATGCCGAAGACGCACTCGGACCCGCCGGACCGACGCATGCGCCGCCTGCTCCGGGCATGCAGGGTCTCTTCGCCAATCAGCTGCTCACGCGCAAGGAGGTGCTCGAGGTTGCGCGAGGCAGGATGAAGCAGCTGCAGTGGCACAAGCTGTCGCCGCAGCAGGCGGCCGAGACCATCTTCGGCCGCCAGCTGCTCGACGAGGAATCCATCGCCAGGATGCTGCGCGAAGAGGGCTTGTTCGACGAGATGGAGGAGGAGTTCAAGGCCAAGCAGCCGGTGCGCAAGGTCGGCCCCGCCGCCAAGAAGGACAAGGTGGAGCTTAAGACGCACCTCAGCCTGCAGACGCGGCAGGGCATCGAGATGGTGCTCAAGCGCGTCCGCTCGAGCCTCACCGACAGCAAGCACGCGACGCCCGAGGAGGTGGCCCACCACATCATCAACTGCAGCGACGCTGTGCTCGACCAGAGCTTCCTCACCGAGCTGCTGCGCCACTACCCCGAGTCCGAGACCAAGGGCCAGCTCGGCGAGTACCGCAACGCCTCGGACGAGGAGCTCCGATTGCTCCACCCCGCCGACCGCCTCGTCGTGCTCCTCATGACCGTCCCCCACCTCAAGGAAAAGGTCAAGGGCCTCCTCTACATGACAAAGTACAAGGAGACCTACGACCTCATCAAGAGCGGCATGGTCCGCATCCGCGACGGCTCCGAAGGCCTCGTCAAGGCCGAGTCGTTTGCCCGCCTCCTCAGCCTCATCCTCATGATGGGCAACTTCCTCAACTCGACGGGCGTCCAGGGCGGCGCGTTCGGCTTCAAGATCACGAGCATCAACAAGCTCGTCGACACCAAGGCGAGCGACGGCACGACGCTGCTCCACTTTGTCGAGCGGACCATCTCCAAGTGCTTCCCCGAGGTCGAAGCGTTCATGGACGAGCTCGAGCGGCCTGCCGATGCGTGCCGGGGTGAGTTACTTTGGCGGTGGCTCGTGGAGGCCGTTAGCGTCGTCGAGGGTGTGGACCGGTACTGATGCGCGACCCCTTTCATCCTTCTGCCCCCTTCGGCCCGAACCCATCGACGACCGCAGTGCAACTGCTCGACCTGAAGCGCGACCTGGCCGAGCTCAAGTCGGGCAGCTTCCAGCACCGCAAGGAGCTGGATCGGTTCCTCGACGAGTCCGAGGAGAACCTCAACGACCCGTACGCCAAGCTGATGCTGCCGTTCCTCAACGAGGCCAGCTCGGACCTGCAGCGCCTCAACGACCAGGTGCAGCTCACCGAGCGCGTCTACAACGAGGCGCTCAAGTACTTTGGCGAGGGCTCCGACCCCAAGAAGCGCACCTTTGGCCAGGTGGCCAGCCAGCCGATGCGCACCGAGGACTTTTTCGGCATCTTCAAAGAGTTCCTGGCCTCGTACAAGAAGGTCAAGGCGGACAATGTCCGCATCGGCGAGCAGAGGCTGCTCGAGGCCAAGAGGAGGGCGGTGAGTACTGGCGTGGCGCGTGCTGCGATGGGGTGCAGAGAGCGTGCGCGTCTTATGCGCATCCCGTTCGCCTCGCTGACGATTGGAACGTCTGCTTTATTGCTCCCTTTGCCTACGCCCCGCCGACGCTTACCAACGACAGGCCGCCGAGGAACGCGAAAGGGAACGGCAGGAAGCCCTGGCGCGCAAAGAGGCGGGCGTCGACGACAAAGCGGTGCTCGAGACGCTGCTTGGCTCGCTGCGGAGCGGCGGGGGCACGCCAGGAAAGACGAAGCGCAAGGCGCGCGAGCGTGGGCAGGCGCGACGGAGCGGCGCCACGGCATCCGGCGGCACGTCGATCCTGGCCGGCGGCGCCACCGGCGACCGCACGCTCTCACCGCTTGCCGGAGCAGGAGGCGGCAGCGACGGAGATGCGGGAGCGTCGCCGCTATCATCGTCGACTCTGGTCGCGGCGGGTGCCGGCGGAGGCAACACTGCCGACGTCGCCGCTGCGATGCTGGCCCAGCTGCAGGGCGGATCGGGCGAAGGCGTGACGAGCGCGAGTGCATCGCGCATCACGACGAGCAGCCGTCGCAGGGAGAGGGAGCGGAGGAGCGGCAGGGAGAGCAGCAACCTGCTTCAGGCCGGCGCAACTCCATCGGCGGGCTCTGTGGCTGCGCAAACGGAAGCAGCAGCTGCATCATCGCAGCCAGATGCGGCGAAGACGGAGCCGGACGTCGATCAAGGCCAAGGGGCTTCCACGGCTGCCACCGGCGAAGCTGCACAGGGCGGGTCCGACACGTCCGCAGAGCGGCATCCGGACGAAGCGGCAGACGACAAAGTGGGCGCGGCTTCCAGCCTCGCTTCGCCCTCACCGCATCAAGATCAGGATCACGACGAGGACGGTGACGAGGGTGACGGCGACGAGAGCGACGAGGAGGGGGAGAGCGAGAGCGACGCGCAGAGCCCTGCCCTCTCTGCACCGCCCGAGGCGCTTCCAGGCGACCATGCCGCCGGCGACGGCCACGACGACGGCGACGACGAAGACGGGATAGGGTTCGACATGCAGCCCATCACGCCTACGGCCGCTTCCTTCCGGCCCCACGAGGCTCAGGTCGAGCCTGGACCGGCAGCGGCCAAGGGTCAGGGCCAAGGCGAGGGCGACGGCGAGGGTGAGGGCCAGGGCGAGGATGAGCTCGAGTGGTTTGATCCTGACCAGAGTGGGTTCCTCGAGCGGTGAGGGAGAGAGGGGAAGAGGGCGAGACGCAGCTGTCATGCAGCGATCTCGTAGTGGGGACGAGGAGGAAGGGGGACACGTGTAGGGGGAGGAGGGATTATGGGCCTCAGGGGAGGCATGTCATGCCTGGAATTGCAAACAGAGCCTACGCCGCGAGCAAGGCGGGAGGCGCTTGCCCCATCTCCTTCGATCCGCCGACTGGCCGTGTGGTCGCTCCTTGTGTGGGTGCTGCGCCTCGTTCCCTTCCCTTCCCTTCCTGAGCAGGTCCAGCGTTGCACCAGCTGATCGTCACCTTGGCGCCTCGACCGCGGCGTGATCATGCCCCTCTCCGCGGTCCGTGTCCTTCGCTTCTGCTCTGGCGCCAGCCTGATGGCTAGCGCGCACCGCAGGCTTCACGCCGCCTCGGCAGCGGAGACGCCCTCGAACATATCGCCGAGCAGGCCGAGCTCGACGGCGCGCCAATCCACATCGTCCGATGGCCAGTCCCCCGTCGTAGTGGCCGCGACGGTACCAGACCCCGCCGCCCCTGCTCCCCCTGCTCCTGCTCCTGCTCCTGCGGCAGTTGCTGCAGTAGCGGGGGCACCGGCGGAGGAAGAGGGCAAGGCGTTGGGCGTGCGCACGCCAACGTGGTACACGGCCTCGTACGAGTCGAGCGAGATGCGCTGCAAAAAGGGCAGCAGCTCCTCGATCCGTCCCACGTGGCGCCGCGCATTGAGGTGCGGCGTGCGCCGCTTCTTTGCTCCCGCACCCGGACCCTTCTTGTTGCTGCTGCCGCCGCGCAGCGTGGCGTGGTCCAGGTCCGAGGGTGAGTCGAAGGAGAATGGATCCTCGTGCTGCGTTGAGGCCGTCATCGACTCGGTTGGTGGCTGCAAACACCGAAAAGAACGGCCGAGGCCGCGAGTAAGTGGTGAGCTCGCGCGGTACAAAACGAGGGGCGCAATCGTGCGACTCACCGTTGTGATCGCTGAAGACCGCTTCTCGCTCACCATCGTCGCGAGGCGGTCCATGATGGACTCGGCCACCCAGTCGTCGGGCGCGTAGACGACATCGACCGTGTCGGTGACGAACATCCACTGGTGCCTGTTGGTCGGTGAATGAGGGCAAGAAAAGAGATGGCGCAGTCGAGAATCAGCCGCCGAATCACAAACAGCACGCGGCTGGCCGTCCGGCCCGGGCCTGGGCCCCGCCCACGGCGCACTTACACCTGGAAGTCCTCAGTCTGGAGGACGAGGAGCAGGTCGAGGAACTTGCACGCCGACAGTACGAGCTGCAGCTGGTCCGACTCGTCGGGCGGCAGCTCGTCCATCATGCCCTCAAACAGCCGCATCAGCTCGGTGATGATGACGGGCCAGAAGCTCGAGAGGTGCCGCGCCGAGAAGCGGCACAGGAGCACGCGCATGCACAGGTACACCTCGGCATGCACCAGCTCCGACACGTTGGAGCGCAGCAGGTCCACGACCCTCTCCTGGATGCTCGGCAGCTGCGCCAGGAAGGCATCGCGCTCGCCGCTGAAGATGACAAACGACAGCCGGCGCAGGTTGAATGCCCGGGTGAGCATCTCGAGCTCGCGGTTGGTGAAGATGTTGGCCGAGGCGGCGCTCGTGATCCGGCCGATGAGCTCGACCAGCCGCTCCTTGTCGTTGAGCATCAGCGAGAGGATAATGGGCTTCCACCTCTCGGCCAGCGCGGGCGTCATGGTGAAGAAGCGGTTGTCCTGGAACAGATCGCCGACCGCGCCGCGCCAGGCCTTGAGGCTGCCGGGCAGCTTGACCATCTCGCCGACGAGCGAGAGGACGTTGGCGTCCACATCCAGCGCCCTGCGGAACGTTGAGAAATGATGCAGGCAGGAGCATAAGCATAGGAGCTGCGATGAACGGCACGCCAAGCGTGAAGGGGCTTTGGGTCAGCGCAGCGCAGCGCCGCGACAATACTCACTTTGACTTGACGCGGAAGCTGGGGGCGACAATGTAGTAGACGGCGTTGGCCGCGATCGACATGATCTTGTCGCCGTCCACCTGGAATCTGCGCAGGGCCGGTACTGCCCTGGTGGCGAGGAACTCATTGATGGCGTCGATCAGCGTCATGCCGGCGACGTCGACGCCGGGGATGGCGGCCTTGTCGTCCTTTTCGATGATGCCGCTGCTCTCGAGGTCGAGCTCCTCGTCGTTCGCCTTGCCCGATCGTCGGATCCAGGTCGACTGGTCGTACGACCTGCCCGCTATGAGAATGGCCGAATCGACGAGCTTGACGTACGTGTCTTGCAGATCCCTCCGCATCCTGCGGTCCTCGATGGCGGTCGTCTGGCAGAGCTTCTCGCCGAGCGTCGTGAGGATCCGCAGCACGGGGAAGATGTGCAGCTTGCGGCTCGTACTGCTCGCCACAAAGTCCTTGACGAGCAGGATCATCACCGGCCACACCTGCGGCGCCTCCTGCTGCGGCATCCGCGCCAGGTAGGCGTCGGTGAAGGCGAAGAGCGAGGCGTCCGACGCCGCAAATGAGCTTGCCGTCTTCCTTGCCTTTTCGCCGCTGCCCGAGACGCGCGTCGAAAGGACGTCGCAGAGGTAGGTGACGACGATCTGGGCGCTCGCCGCGACCACCTCGAGGATGTCGAAGACGGCCGTGATGCGCGGACCGTCCCGCTCTCCCTCGCCGACCCTCGACCGTTGCCAGCACTCGAGCAGAGACTCGACCACGTCGGCTGACTGCGCCCGGTAGATGCGCTCGAGAGCTCGGCGCGCACGCAGTCGGACTTTGGTCACGATGCTCTCGAGCGCCAAGGCCTTGGCGTCCCTCTGCGAGAGTTGCATGTAGGTCATCGTCCACACGCCGTGGAGCGTCTGCACCGTGTCCTGCAGTGCGCGTGTGCGTCCGGCCACGGCCGCGCCGGCCTTTCCTGCCACAGCGCCGGACTGGTCGGCGGAAAAGACATTGGAGACGTAGCCCAGCAGGCCAGGTCCGCTGTCTTGCGTGGCGCTCGTCGCCTTCTCTCGCAGCTCCCCCTGCGTCGTGCTCGGCTCCCTCGAGGGCCCGTGCTGGGGTAGCTCTTCGCCCAGCGCTTGGAGCAGGATGCGCTCCGATAGGCTGATCAGCAGCGTGAGGTCCATCTCGGAAGAGAGACAGGACACGTCCTCTGCCTGCACCGCAAGATCGGCGCCGAACGTCGCCCGCACGCTTGCGGGGACAAAGGCCTTCTCGACCTCGCCAGTGATGGAGCGGATGAGATCGCAGATGCTTGCGTTGATGGGCAGCAGGACGCCGTTGACGCTGCTGCGGAAGAAGGGCATGGCCATCAGCACAAAGTCGGACCAGTGCTGCAGGATGGGCCGGTTCCGCTCCGCCGCCAGCCCGCGCTGCACCATCGGCAGGAACAGTGGATGCGCTGTGATGCCGAGGCGTGCCTTTGTCGGACCCACGGTCTCTTGTGTCGTTGGTCCGTCCTCCCTGGCGTCCATGGTGGTCGACGACGTGGAAAAGACCCGTTCGGGCGCATGCACGACGACTGGGCCCGAAGCGCGCGCGGTGATAGTCGAGTGCAGGGCGTGGAGCAAGCGATTCTGACCTTCGATGGCACCAGTTGCGGTCGCGATCAGCAGCGCCTCGATCTGTATCCGCTCGATCTCCCGCAGTCTGGCCGGACTCAGCTGGCCCTTCTGTACGAGGATCTGCACCAGATCGATTGCCGCAGCCTGGACAGCGTTGTTGTTCTTGCGCATGCTGTTTCGCAGCGCCTCGTCCGGGTATGCGCGAAGCATGCCCAGGCACTGGTCGAGCAAGACGTCGAGATAGCTGGCCTGGGAGCTGCGAGCCCCTTCCGTGTCTGACGAAGGTCCGGCAGAGGACGTGAGCAGCCTCTCCACCGACGCAGAGACGCTGTTGCTCTTGAGGGCCCGGGCGAAGCCCTGCCCGCTGAAACGCGAGAGGGCCGCCAGCGTTTGCAGCGCGTATAGGCTCTGCTGCTGGTCGTATGGCCTCGTGTACTCCAAGATGTCGATCTGAAGGCCATCGAGCTCCAGTCGATTGGCTCTGCGGGGCGGGCGGCTGGCGAGGAGCATGTGGAAGAGAGGGTCGACCACCTTGGGATACGAGCGCAGGTTGACCCGAAGCCAGGCCTCGGCCCACTGCTTCTCCTCGAGGTCGGAGGATCGCAGCTTGTCGAGGATCAGCAAGAGCGGCGCCCACAGCTCCTCGCACGGCAGATCCTCGGACAGCCGCCAAAGCGTGCCAAAGGCTTGCATCGTCCGGATTCGTCCCGAGACGTCGGGGGCCGACAGCTTCCGGCAGAGGACCCGCTCGAGGTGGCCGCGCGATGTGACCTTCTGTGCGGCCCAGAGCAACTCTGCAGCGCGGATTTGGTAGGGCGACCTATCGGGCTCCATGTAGAAGAGCAGGCTGGTGGCGATCTGTGGGAAGTAGTCGCCGCCACCAAGGTCAATCCGCGAGCCGGCAGAGGTGAGCAACGCGCATGAGATCAACACCTCGATCATTCTCTCGACCTCGGCGAAGCTGCCGGCGCGACTCAGGCGATCAAGCAGCGTGGGCGCCCAGCCGGCCACGTCCCAGTCCAGCCGTGCGGCAGCCGCTTCGCCGGCTGGAACAGGCGCGTCCAACAGGCGGAGGAGATCTGCAAAGATGTCGAGGATGCGGACGGACATCTCCTGATGCTGCTGCTGCTGCGAGCTTCCCGGCTTGACGATGTTCCCGAGGCGAGACGTGACGTCAGCGCAAAGGCGGAGTAGTGCAGATGTCGACGCCTCGTCCTCGAAGCTCCGGAATCGCTGCGCCGCCTCCTCGGCGTCGGTCTCTCCGGGAGCGTAGAAGGCGTCTGCTCGCGAGACAAAGTCCGACATCGCTGCAGTCCCCCCGTCCTCTGGCTGATCGTGGGTGCGTCTGCCGAACACCCTCGCCGGGATCAGGTCTAGCAGCAGCTTGAGGAGCTCCAACGCGTCGAGTAGCAGCCTGATGTCCTCGGCTGCTGCTATCCCTGCCTTGAGGCGATTGTCGACGAGCTGAAGCAGAGCGGCGAAGAGAGTTGGCACGTGGATCTGCTTGGTCTCCTCGTCGTGGAACCGGAAACTCTTGAGGGCGAAGCATAGCAGCTCGACGGCCGAGATCGGCGCGTCTCCCGCCTCTGTCGAATGCTCGGCAGCCGCCTCCGCTTCTTTCTGGCCGAATTGAGAGCGGACGGCGCTGAAGAATTGGCTGTACAGCAGGTATGGATCCACAACCTCAAACAGCACATTCGCCGTCGTGGCGATCTCGTCGTCGACCTGACGGGTCATCTGTCGGCTGAGCGCCCGGAAGGCGTCGAGGACCAGGACCTCTGTCAGCGGCTGTCCGATCTCCCACTTGTCGAGCAGCGACACAAAGATTTTGTAGGGCCGCTGTCGCTCCGCGGCGTCCGGCTGCAGATCGCTGTCGGTGTCCCGCTCAAAGTCCTCCTTGAGCGCCTGCCTGACTAGGCCAAGGCCGTGGGAGCGCAGATAGGCCATCTGGGTCTCGAAGGCGTCGTCTGCGCCGAGCAGCCAGCTGTAGAGGCGTCGGTTGAGACTGAGATCCCTGCGCAGCACAACGCTGAGCGCGGCCCTGACAAGGATGACCTTGTCGTTGGCCTTGACGTGCCGCTGGAACAGCGGCCTGTCCATGCGGAGGTGGGTGACGAGGAGCTCGAGGGCGTTGCGCCGCACCAGCAGCGTCTCGTCCTCGAGGGCGTGGGCGAACCCTCTGACCATCAGGCCGACGTCCTTGCCGACGGATCGTGTCGGGTCGACGACTTCCGGGCCGAGGTCGGGCATCCTCTTGGTGAGGTAGTTGAGCGCGGCGAGGCGGGTCGAGGGCGTGGTGATGAGGACGAGCCAGAGGCATTGGAGGAAGAAGTCCTGGCCGACGGAATGCGAGACGCTGTCGAGGAGCTTGAGGGTACGGTCAAAGAACTCGCCCGTCTCCTCTTCGAGTCCCGGCAGGAGGGCGAGGAGGAGGGCGCGTGCGATGGGGCGGAGGTCCTCGTGGAGGGGCAGGTAGTGCTTGTCGTAGATGTCGAGCAGGCTGGGCTTGACCGAGGTCGAGGCGTACTGGAAAAAGGGGAGGAGGCCCGACGTCCATATCTGGAGGTCCCTGCGTAGGCCGTCTGGCCCAATGACGGCGAGGATGTGGCTGTAGACGTCGAGGGCGCGCTGGTGGACGCCCGAGGGAAGGGCGGGGTTGAGGCACTGTGCGAGGCGCTTTGCGACGATGAGCTTGCGGGGTACGACGTTGAAGTTTGGGTATGCCTGCACCGACTTGAGGAGGCGGGAGAGGAACGAGATGAAATCGGCCCACTCGCTGACGCTGTCAAAGGTGGCGAGGGTGCGCTCGACGAGGTTCGAGTACTTTTTGAACTTTGGGTCCGAGTAGAGGGACTTTTCGCTCTGGATGGCCCACGCCTTTTCCGCCCTCTTTGCGGCGCTGCTCCTCCATACCTCGCTCGAGTCGATGATGTTGGCGCGGGCCGAGGGCTTGGAGGAGGTGGCAGCGGGGCTGATGGTCTTGCTCTTTGACCTGGCTGCGGTGAGGAGAGAGGGGTGATCGCTGGCGGAAGCGGAGCTGAGGTCGAGCTGCACGTCTGCCGAGGGGGGTTTGAGGGCGGAAGGCTGAGCGAGGCGGATTGCGGTGGGCAGGGAGCTGAGCGAGGTGGAGCTGCCTTTGCGTGCCCTGGCGAGCGAGTGCTGTGGGGCGGCGGACGGGGCGCTGCCGGACGGCGTTGGTGCGTTTCGGGAGCCCGACATGGTGAGCCCAGACTGGGGTTGGTGGATGAGGAGGCGATGGTGATGGTGATGGTGGTGGTGGTGGAGGAGGAAGAGGTCGAGGTTGGAATTGGACAAGAGCAGGCCACAGGCCAGCAGGGTGCCGGCAGGAGGGAGGGACCCTGACCTGCAGCCTCTCTGGGCCCAAACACCGCCCCGCACAGGCCACACACGCCCCACGCAGGCTGCCACGCCGGCCTCGCTGTCGGCTGGCGGCCCGAATCCGCCTCCTCTTCCTCCTCCTCCTCCTCCTCCTCCTCCTCCTCCTCCTCACCTCCACCACCACCGCCACTACTCTTGCTTTTCCCTCGCCTTCCAGCTCGTACGGCTGCTCCGCGCCGCCTACTGCGCCCACCATGTCGCGCTCACTTCGCACGCGTCCCATGACGCTCTACAACAAGGACGACACCCACAACCACCACATCCCTCCCATCCCAGAGGCTTCCGAAAGCTACCCGCACGCCAGCGCCCATGCCGGCCCCTCCAGATCCAGCCAAAGCTATGGCGCACCGCATCCATCCTCCCGCTCCTCGTCCCACCCCAGCGGCGCAAACGTCCTCAAAAAGTCGAGGAAAAAGGCCTCCGAGGTCGGCTCCAACCTCAAAAAGAGGCTCTCGATGCGCTACGCAGAGCCCACCGCCATCGGTCCGGGAGGCTTCAGCGCCGTGCCAGAGGTGCCCAGCCTGCCTCCGAGCGCCATGCCCCAGATCCAGGTCGGTCAGAGAATCACCCACAACGTCGACGGCTCCATCCTGCCCATCATGGGCCACGGCTTCGCAGATGCCCAGGATGCAGACCCAGATCCCGATGCCGACGTCCACGACCGCTTCCGACCGCGCCCTTCGACCGACAGCGCGCGCTCCGGCACCGACAACTTTGCCGCAGACCCGGCCATCGACCTCAACCTCCTCTCCCAGGACGACTTTGACCCGCAGGCCTACCTCCGCGCCAAGCTCTCGCAGCACTCGGAGTCGAGCCTACGCACCTTCAAGACGTCGCTCGCCGGGGCAAAGGAGGCCGCCAACGAGGACCTCAAGCGACAGGTCTTTAAGAACTACGCAGAATTCATCACCATCAGCAAGGAGATTGCCACGCTCGAAAACGACATGCTCGAGTTAAAGGAGCTACTCACAGAGTGGAAGCAGCTGCCACAGGCGCTCGAGCTCGACGACTCGACCGGCGCAGCAGGTGAGTGGAATTGGCGGGCGGAAGTCTTGACGGAGGCCACATCAAAGCACCTGCGGCTGACCATCTCTTCTGCCTGACGGCATCGCGAACGGTATCGTGGGCGTGCAGCCTTCTCCGACTTTGGGCGGGGCAAAGGCGGCCGCGGCGGTAACCGCGCTAGCATGATCGACCTGCAGCAGATTTACCGGGCGCAGATCACCTCGCTCTGGGAGGGCATCGAGGGGTCGCAGAAGTTCCTGCCCTACGTCCCCGGCCGCCACCTGATCGCCGAGGCGAGCACCTTCACCGAGCTCAACTCGGCCACCTACAAGCCCAAGCAGGGAGTCGCCCTCTTCCTCCTCGACGACCTGCTCCTCATCGCCGTGCGCAAGAAGCGGCAGATGAGCAGCAAGGTGCGCCTCGTCGCCGAGAGATGCTTCAGCCTGGCCGAGATTGTCGTCATCGACCTCAAGGACGGCGGCGACCTCAGCAACGCCATCAAGATCAAGCGCGGCAAGGAGACGTTTGTCTACCGCTCCGACCGCGCCGAAGACAAGCGGGCGCTGCTCAACGCCTTCAAGCGCGTCGCCGAGGAGCTGGCCAGCAAGCGACGCAAGGAGAACCACGCCGAGGCCGAGGCGCGCAAGCGGCAGTCGACGCTCCTCTCGGGACCGGGCCTGGACTCGGGCAGCGTCCTCGGTGCCGGCGGACATCGGGCCGGGTCCGCGGCGTCAAAGTCCTCCAGCCTGCTTTCGCCCATCGGCGAGGACGGCGAGAGCGTGCTGGCGGCAGCGGCGGCGAGTGCGGCAAGCGAGAGAAAGGACCCGGGCCGGTGGAACAACGACTTTGCCGACGAGCTCGCGGTGTGCATCGCGCTGCGCGAGTGGGAAGAGGCTGTGACGCTGGTCGAAAAAGGTGAGTCTGCCAGGCGGAGTGCGCGAGATGCTCGTGGAGCCGGGCACCACTCACTCAGCTTGACCTCATCTTCTCCGCCCATTTCGACCCTGGCCCCGACAGGTAAGGGCGTGCTGTCCACCTACGCCCCCTCGGACCTGGCGCACATTGATCTGTCGTCGAAGCTGGCCACGCGGACGCACGACCTCGTCTCGGCCATCAGCGCCGACTTTTCGCAGCAGTCGCTCAAAAAGTCGGCCGTGGTGCGCAACGCCGGCTACCTGCTGCGGCTCGACAAGGGCGAGCTGGCGCGCGAGCTCTTCCTGACGGCGCGCACCGAGCTCCTCAAGCGCAGGACGCGCCAGATCAAGTACGAGGGCGACGTCAGCCTCTACATCTCCGAGCTGGCGCTGGTGCACTTCACCCTGATCAAGAACACGAGCGAGTGGTACATGAGTGCCTTTAAGGATAACCGGATGGCGAGCGGTGAGTTGCCGTCGGGTCCCTTCCTTGGCGTCCAGCAGGAGAACTCACGGCGACCCGTCTGAATGCCTTCCGATCCGTTTGCATCGCCGCCGCGACGAATCAGGCTTTGTGCAGTGGGCCTCGACGCAGATTGAGGCGTACGGCGAAATGTTCCGACGACAGGTCTACGGCGTCGACCAGGACGCCCAGGTCATCCGCGACTGCCTCGACGTGAGCCGGAGCAGCGCGGCGCAGCTCAAGGAGGTCGGCCTCGACTTTTCCTACCTCATCGAGTGCGTGACCGGCTCCCCTCCTTCTTCCCAAAAGAGCATCGAAAGCCGACGACTGACCGTTGCGCCGCCTCGCGCCGCCTTTTCTCATCTCGTCCCTGTCGCGCGCAGGGAGTTGTTGAGACCCGAAGGTCTCACCAAACCGGGTGAGTATTCGCAGTGAAATGTGCCGGCAGCAACTGGCTGGGCAAGGATCGAGTGCTGACCTGGTCTATTCCCCTCGAATCAACGACGACGACAGTGCCATCGCTGACATTGACGACGGCCGAAGAGCCGAACTCGGCGTCGCCCATCCGCGCCTCGGCGCAGGAGATACGCAGACAGAGCATGATGCAGCTCGCTTGATCCGAGCTTGCACGACCCGGCGATCGCTCTCCATCCCCCGTCCCTGCCTGCAATGGAGAGACCGCCTGAATGCCACATCGCCCGCGTCTAGATCTACCACGAGTGTGGGGGATGTGGCGAGCTACTGGCTCCATAGCTCGACGACCCTCGGATCGGCGGTCGGCTCGTCCTGATGCCCCTTTTTGGCGATGCGCAAACACTCCTTTTCGAGCCAGTCCGGTTTGGGCGTCCACCCCGCGCCTGGGTCGTGGGGACGGTGCTGCTGCTGCTGCCGTTGGTGGTGGTGTGACGGCGGTGCGACGACCGTCTCGACCTGGACGTGCTGCTCGCGGAGCATCCGTGCGCCCTGGCACAGCACAAAGTCTTCGGGCTCCGAGACGCCCTGCAGCACACGGTCGATGATGAGCACCACGTCCCTGCTCTTCCCCTCCCCGTCGCTGCCGCTGCCGCCGCCGCCGCCGACGGGAAGCGAGAAGACGAGCTCGCCGTCGCGACCTGCCTTGTTGAACGCGAGGATGCGCTGCACGCACGGCGCGTTGCCGCTCAGCCTCTCCGAGCACGGTTCCATGGTCGTGTAAAGGTCCAGCTTGATGGTCGCCTCCTTTGCCGATCTGCCGCCCGCTGGGTCCGAAGTGCGACGGCGGCCGTAGAGTCGTTCGAGCTTGTCGAGCGCACACTGCTCGGCGTGCGTGTTGCCCGGCAGCTCGCGCGAGTAGCCCGTGGTCAGGATGCCCGTCTGAGAATCTATGACGGCTTCGTTCGGCATCGGTTGGATGGCGATGACGCAGCCCACGCAGAAAGCCGTGGTGAGAGGGATGCACTTGTCTGCCTCGCGCAGCGCGACCACCATCAGGTCGTAGTCGCGCTCCTTGTTCGGCTTGGCCCTTAGGTTGCCGTTCTCTTCCATGTCGTCGTCGTCGTCGACCACGGCCTCGTCGGCAGACGAGGAGGCGAGCGAGTCGTAGTACCTCTTCCACGGCTTCCTCCGCTTCTTCCACTCTCGCTGCCATGCGCCGTACTCGCCCTCTATGCCGCCGTCGCGCCAGACCATCCAGCTGTCGCGGATCCGGAACGCGACGGCGATGGGATGGTCTAGGATGATCTGTCGGAGCGGCGGGGCCGGATGCAGGTCGGGGATGAATCGATCCGAGATGCTCGAGCTGCGGCGGTGATGCCCGCTGCGCCCGGCGGTTTTCGCAGCCGCGGCGCTGGCCGTCGATGCGCGGGTCGCGACCTCTGGCTGTGACTGCTTGCGCTGTCGCAGGCTGCTGGACGTCGAGGAGGGTGCAATCATGCGGTTGGCCTTGACGGCGATCGAGGACGAGTCGGAGCCTACGCCGAGCGGGGCAGGGAGGCGGAGCGCCTTGCGGGTCAAGTGCTCGGTGAGGTAGTAGTATGCCGCACCGTAGACGAGGCCGATGCTCGCCCCGACAAAGATCTGAAGCGGCGTGTGGTAGTGGAGGTGGTATCTGCGAGCGTAGTGTGCGTGTGCGCGCGTGCATCCGTGTGTTGAGACGGTAGAAAGGGCGAAGAGGCACAGCAGCGTAAGTCGAGGTCAAGGACTGGCGACGTCGGCGAGCCGGGGGTCAGGCTTGCCACGTACCTCGAGTAGCAGGTGATGGCGGCGAGCAGCGCAATGGCGAGCATGGCCGCGTCGTGCTCGAGTCTGCGCATGAAGCCCACGACGGTCCTCGTCTGCATGGGCGGGGGACGGTTGAGTCCAAAGTGGGCGAGGAAGAAGGCGGCGAAGAAGCCGAGGAACTGCGAGTGGGAGCTGGGCATGCCGTAGCCGGATCCAAAGTCGGCCGTGGGGCGGGGCTGGCGGATGAGGCGCTTGAGGAGCCAGTTGAGACCCTCGCAGCTGAGCTGTCCGATCAGGGCATTGATGAAGGTGAGCTCGCGGCGGTACAGGATGATGGTGATGTAGGAGCACAGCAGGAAGATGGGCGAGAGCGTGGCGAGGGAGAGGATCTTGGAGAAGGGGTCTTGGGGGTCATCTGGTGGGTAGTATGGAGAGAGGGGAGGGCAAGGATGCGGCATGGGTGGCGATTAGAGGGAGGGAGCGGACTCGCGGTCAAGAAGGGGGGCTGGCGACGGGATGAACCAGGCAAACTCACAGCGGACATGGGTCAGCGCCAGCGACGTGTAGCGCGCAGGGTCTATGGAGCTGCCGCGAACCATGTTGGCGCTCCGAGGGGAGGGGCGACGTTGCGTGAGGCCGAGAGCGAGGTTGTCCTTGACCGTCTTGAGTGGTCTGGGTCGATGCGTCGGTGATGGTGGTGGTGGTGGCAGCGGCGACAGAAGCTCGTCGTTGGTAGTCTGGCAGGTGGAGGGGGCCAGAGGCAGAGCCTGGCAGCACGCAGGCCCGTTCGCGCGCTCGGACCTCGCCCGACGGCTCGACTGCCAGCAGGCCAGGCCAGGCCCGCCAGCAGCCCACTGCGTCCACGCAGTCCGGCTCACCGCCACGCGCCCCACAGGGCCCACAGTCGACCTTGCTCGCTCACCAGCGCAATGCCACCGACACCGGCGCCTGACTGCCGTCGTCGTCTCGCGTCCAGGTGCCGCGACGTGGTCGTCCCGCTCAAGACACGAAGAATTAGTCGGCTATGGCGGGGCATGCGTGCATGAAAAGAGAGATACGGTACAGAAAGAATCGAGTGCTGCCAGAGATGTGAGTGAGAGGACGTCGTAGTGTCTGAGGAGGCGAGGCGGCGAGATCAGGAGAGAGAGAGGGTGCGGAGAGACCGCAGACAATACACGAGACGGCGTGGCGACCATGGGCCATGGGGGAAAGGATGGACGGAGAGACCGAGCGAGCGAGCGAAGGGGCTTGCAGAGGCGACTGACTGCTGCCACAGCGAGAGAGGGCGCGCGGCTTTTGGGGCGATGCAAAGAAGAAAAAAGGCCTGGGGAAGCCTTTCCTCCTCTTTAGGCGGCGCTGGCCTCGATGCTCCTGGCATAGTTGCGCAGGATGCGGTCGACGTCCTCCATCGTCTGCTCGCGCACGTCGGCGAGCTTCTTGATGGCGGCGGTGGCCTCCTTGACCTGCTCCTCGGTCAGGTCCAGCTCGAGCTGCTCGCAGCGCGACTTGACCGCGTTCCAGCCCGTCAGGCGGTGGCCGATGCTGACATAGCGGCTCATGCCAAAGTCCTCGGGTCGGATAATCTCGTACGTCGACGGGTTGGCCAGGATGGCCTTGGCGTGGATGCCCGCCTTGTGCGTGAAGGCGCAGTAGCCCGTGACGTAGTTGTTGAACGGCACCTGGATCTGGACGGCCTCGGCGACCAGGTTCTCGACCTCGCGCAGCGCCTTGAGGTTGTACTTGCTCATCACGTACTCGCGGTCCGCCGTGTACATTCTCGCAATGAAGCCGCCGAGCGACGGGATGCCGTTCCTCTCGCCAATGCCGAGCACCGACGTGTCGACGTGGGTGGCGCCGGCCTCGAGCGCCGTGTAGGCGTTGGCGATGGCGCAGCCCGTGTCGTTGTGGAAGTGGCACTCGATGTCGCAGCCAACGACGCCGCGCAGCGTGCGGACCAGGTCGTAGACCTGGCGCGGGTTGGCCACACCGACCGTGTCGGCGATTCCGACGCGGTTGACGCCGACCTTGTCGACGGCCTGGTAGATGCTGAGCAGGTCGACGAGGTCGGAGCGGAACGAGTCCTCGGTCGAGAAGCGGATCTCGATGCCCTTGCTCTTGACAAACTGGATGACCTCGATGGCAGTCTTGGTAATGTAGGTCATATCCTTGCCGTGCGAGTACTCGCGGAGGAACTTGGAGGTGCCCATGACGACGTCGACGCCGTCGACGCCCGTCTCGACGGCGATCCTGGCGTCGTCCATGTGGCATCGGATGTGGGTGATGACCTTGGTCTTGAGGCCGAGCTTGCAGATGGCCTCGCAGTCCTTGCGCGACTGCTCCGACGCCGCGGGCGACGTGAGCTCGATGCAGTCGACGCCGAACTTGTCGAGCGCCTTGGCAATCTTGATCTTGGTCTCGGTGTCGAAGAAGGCGTTGGCGAACTGCTCGCCCTCTGAGCAGCACGAGGCGAGTCACGCGGAACGGGGGGAGCGCGGGAGCATGGGTCAGCGGGGATGTCGAGGCAAGGAAACAAAGAGAGAGCACGCTGCTGAACGGCGCAGTCGTTGGCGGATCTGGAGCAGGCGATGCCCGTTCCACCACCGGTGTGACACCTGCATCTGCGCAGGACACGCCGGCTTTGCCATCTCCGCGTCAGGACTGCCGCCCACCACATCGTCCGACGCAGCGCGACCATCCTCGTCCTCTCTTCCTACCACCAAGGCCGGGACACTCACCTCGCAGAGTCGACTCGATGATCTTGAAGTTGGAGACGTTGCTCAAGAAGTCCGAGTAGCGCGAGTTGAAGGGCTGGACGTTGCCGGCGTTGCCCGTGTCGCCGAGGTGAGGCTGCCTGCGCACCTCAGCGCCGTTGGCGGGGGCGCCGTTGGAGCCGAGCGACATCGAGGTGTCGATGCCGACGTGCGTCTCGGGGGCGGCGCCGTTGACCTTCTGGGTAGCGCCGGGGTCAGAGTGGTCGCACATGGTTGCGGAAAAGGTAGATGGGGGTTGAGGGCGGGTAAGGATGCGGGGGCACGAGGGTTCTATGCGCGGAAGGCGAAGGGAGGGTAGAGCAGCGTGGCGGAGTCGCTAACGTCGGAAGGATCTCTTTGGCTGGAGTGGATCTCTGGACGGTGATTGACCGATGGCGGATGTAGGCAGGGATGGTTGAGGTTCGGAAAGAGGAGAGAGAGGAACGGAGCAGGCAAAGCTTTCTTCCTCCCGGGCAGCCAGGCGAGGGGGGCGAGGGGCGAGGGCGTGGCAAAAACCCGCCGTCCATCCAGCAGGCGGGCGGCGCTGGGCCCCCACCTCTCTGGCGCCGTCGCCCCCGAGTCACTCCTCGCCCCCGCCCCCCTGCCCGCTGGCCGGTGAGCCGGGCTTGGCTGGCAGGCCGAGAGGAAGCCGCTGAAAAAAACCCAAGCCTGCTCGCGCGAGTGATTTGAAATTGCCCTAGCTGGGCCAGGAATACAAACCGGGCCTGCCTCCTGCACGGCGGCGACCAGAGACGCCGTCGATTAGAAGTTTGTAGTGCCTCCGCCCTCTCGTCCAAAGCATGGTGACTGGTGCCCGCATCGGCCTTTTCCCGAGCCAGCGTCGGCTCCTTTCCGGGATCTCGCGCGGCGCTCCTACCGGCCGGCTGACGAGTGGGGCGTAGCCTGGGCTGCCCAGCCCCGGCGCTGCCTCCTCTATCTGTCTCGGTCCCAGCCGCCAACTGGCAGCACCATCCAGCGTCCGATGGGCCTGCCCTGAAGCTGCCACGCCCTGGCATGTTCTCGGAAGTCCCGCGGCCTCGCAAGCACGCACTCACACGGTTCGCACCGGGACTCAGGCTCGCTCCAGCTATCCAGTCGGGCCAGGCCGGATGGGCGTGGCGACGCGGTGCGATTTGCCCATTCTCTAGCATGCATTTGAGATCGTTTCATCAAAAAGGGCAGGTGGAATGTCGTTCAGGTGCGAGCGTGCAGTAACGCCAGGAGAAAGGGGAGGGACAGCGTCGAAGCCCTCTGGAGGTACCGGCGCAGCGGCATATCAGCGCCGTCGCGATTGACTTGTCCTCGCCGCCGCCTCGAGGACGGCGCTCGAGCCGGGGATCTCGGCGAGCTTGAGCTGGCCTTTGGAATGGTCGACGAGGACGTCGCCGATCCAGCCGCTGCCCGTTGGCTCGGCCGCCTTGCCGGAGCTGGACCTGTCGAAGCTGTCAATGTGCGGAGGTGCCGACCCGGGGCCTGAGCCCGAGCCCGCACCGGAGCTGGGCGCGGCCCGACGCTGGGGAGCAGGGTCGCTGGTACGCTCGCTCCGATCGCGATCCGGCCGGCTGGAGAAGCCGCCCTCGTGCCCCTGCACCGGCTCGCTCCGCCTCTGAGCGCTGGAAGACGATGCGGGCGAAGCCGAAAAGCCTCCTCGTGATGAGGATGACGAAGCCGACGACGAGGGCCTCGCCGAGCCCCTACTGGCGCTGCCTCCGTGTGACCGGCCATTTATGACGCCGCCGCCATCGCTGTTGCGGGACTGATCTTTGGATCTGTCCACCTCGTGCTTTTGCGGCAGCGGCCCATCTGAACGGCGCTTTCCTCCGATCCACGCGCCCGAGTCGAGCTCCTTGGCGACAGAGTCCCGAGCTCTCCCAGAACCCTCGCTGCTGCTGCTCGACGGCAACGACGGTGCGGGCGCGGCACCCTGGGCGGTGGCTGTGGCGAGATCCCCCCGGTCGCCCTCGGACGGCACGCCCGACCACAGCGGGGTTGAGCCGCCAAAGCTGTCGCCCAGGCCAAAGTAGTCGGAGGTGGAGCCGTTGGCCGCGGTCCACGTCTCTACGCCTCGGTCCGGCGCCGAGGGGCTCTCGCTGACAAGTCGGTACGGCGTGTGGGCCTGCAGCGTCTGGGTATCGACCACTTGACCCACGGTAAACCCCCCGGCGATCGCAATCTGTGCGGCGATGCCAGAGCCCGGGCTGCCGCTGTGGCCGCCATAGCCAAGCGGGTTGGACATGGTCTTGAGATCGTCGTTGATCTGCTGGTGCTGCACGCCGTAGCCTGGCTGCTTCATCGGCATCTCGGCCGCTCGGCCGCGTCCAGAACCCGCGGGTGCCCTGTCCGGCTTGGTCAAGCCTGTGCGCTTCTGCTTGCCGGTCGGTGCTGCGGGAGCGCCGTAGGCTGCGCTCGCCCTGTCCGAACCCTGAGTAGCGGCGGCAGAGCTTGCAGACTCGCTCGGCGACGGGCCGCTGCCGTTGGCAGACGCGTCGACGAAGGTCGCACCGGTCGGAGCAAGTGCGACGACTGCGGCAGGTGGTGCGCCATGGTCCGCGCCGTTCGCCTTCGATTCGTGATCCCCAGCCGCAGCAACGTCTGATCCAGCGATGGTCGTCGGCGCCTGTTGCTGCTGTTGCTGTTGCTGTTGCTGGTGCTGCTGCTGTTGCTGCCTCTGGAGCGCCAGCTGTTGCTGCTGCTGCTGCTGCTGCTGCTGCTGCTGCTGGCTCTGGTTGATAATGCTGAGGTACCAGAACATCAGGTTCGAGATGAGCACCTGCTCGTACAGCGGCCGCCTCGGGTTGGCCAGCTTGATGTGGCTGAGCCGGTAGACGGCGCGCTCGATGTGGATCGGGTAGCGGTACGAGCTCATCCCCGCCCGGGCGTGTATGCCGGCCATGTTGCGGTCCAGCAGGCTGCCCGCGGTGATTTGGCCGTTGAAGCCCTTGGAGGCGGCCGCGCCCATCGAAGGGCTTTCGTCCGGGCCCTTTTTCTTGCCAAAGAGGGCTCCGAGGAAGCTCGACGACTCCTTCTCCTTTTCCCTCTCGCGCTCCCGTTCCCTCTCCCGCTCGCGCTCCTCCTCCCTTTCGCGCTCCTTGCGCTCTCGCCGCTCGTACTTTTCCTTTTTCCGCTCCTTCTCCTTTTCGAGCTTGGCGGCGCGGTCGCGCTCGTCGTCATCGTCCTTGCCCAGGCCGAACCACGACAGGCCAAAGCCGCCCTTGCGCTCCTTGTCCTTTTGCCTCTGCGGAGGCGGGGACACGGCCCGCTGCCTCAGCGACGGCGGAGCCGAAGCGCCAGCGGTGGTGGCAGGGGTCGCCGCGGTCGAAGCAGTGGGTGGCGCAGCATCGGCGGCGGCGGCGGTGGCGGCTCGGCGAGGCGCGTGCTGACTCGACGAAGACGACTTGGACTGATGCTGTAGCGAGTTGGTCGAGGCGTTGGGCGTGGTGGACGCCGCCGGTCTGGCCGAGGTCGCGGCCGGCTTGCGGGTCGTCTTCTCAAACGATGGCACAGGCGGCACGTGCGAGACCGGGATGGGCTTGATCTGGTTGGCGTTCACCGGCGTCCGTTCGTGATTGGGCGATGTCAGAGGAGAGTCGCTCAGTGGCGCCGAGCCGGCCAGAACGGTCTGCATTTCCGCTTCTGCCGCCTGGTCGGCCTTGAGTCGGCCGGCCTGCGCGTCGACTCCGTCACCCGCGATGTCGAAGTAGCCCTGCTTCGCTGCGGTGGCCACTGACGCCTGCGTTGGGGTCTGTGGCGGCGAGGGGCTTCGGCTCCCGAGCTTGATTGAAGAGGCGAGGCTGCCGTCGGAAAACGTCTCGGCCAGAGACGTCAGGCTCGTCCTCTGAGACGCGTCCGAATGGTACGAGTCGCGCGAGTAGGCGTCGACGATGGAGTCAGTCGCTTCGTCGGACAGCGGCCGCGAGCTTTCGCCGAAGCTCGACTCGTCTTCGGGGCCCGAGGACATCTCGGACTGGTTGCTTTGTCTCCGCTCCATCGTGGCCGACCCCGAATCGCCTGAGGGCCCCGAGGCCGTTCCAGCGGCCGCAGTGACTTCGCCCAGTGCCGAGGCTGCATCGAGGTCGGCCTGGCCGTCGTTGCCGGACTCTTTCCGGCGAGCAGCGAGGCTGCCAGCTCGGCTGTCGCCGGACAGCGACGCCTTGCGGATCTTGGTGCGGACCGCGCGGCGAAGGATTTGGCCAGGTCTGGGCACGATGATGGGCGCGTCGGCGTCGTCAGCCCCTGTGTTGGGGCGGACATCGTCGGCTTGGTCGAACGCTGTGACGCGCGAGGTAGATGCGGTGTGGATGACGGGTCACGTCAGTCAGTCAGCTGCAAGCTCCGACGCCCCACGAACAAAGACGCCGCCAGCCTTGCCTCCGGCACTCTTCTGCTTACCCAGCGGTGAGGTGTCGATGCTGAGTGTGCGGCGAAGGACGCTCCGCAGCTTCGTCGGGTCGTCGCTCTTGCTCGCCTCCTCGGCCAGCTGCTCCAGCTTTTGCAGGTCGTCGATGGTCAAGATCGGCACGTTGGGGCCGTATGCAGCGCTGCGCGGGGTCCTCTGCGCCAGAACACTCCCCTCGCCTCCGCTGCTCTCGTCGTCGTCGGCGTCGTTATCGGGGCGGTACTGTCGCCGCAGCGTGCTTCCGCGCCGGGTCAGGGAAGTGGAACGGCTGATGATGCTGTCTTGACTGTCTCCCGGACGTCGCAGTGAGTTGAGCCGGCTGGCGATTGGCGAATCTTGCCCTGCCAAGGCTGCCTCGCCGGCAGCGAGAGGGTCGGGGTCCGCGACGTCTGCCTGGCTCACCGTCCGAGCGGCATGGTCCTTGAGAAAGTTGCGGAAGTCGGCCGGCGAGATCTCGGGATGCACCGAGGCCGGCACCCAGAAGAGGTGGCTGGGGTCCTGCGGCCGCGACGGGTCAAACTGGCTGCTGCGGCTCGACGAGCGGCGACCCAGGCTCGAGCTCGGCGAGGGCGAGCGCCCCGCCTCTCGACCTCCGATCGAGTCGGGCGATCCGGGTCGCTCGGCGCCGAGTCCTCTTCTCCTCGCGGTGAAGCGGGCACGCTCGCTGCCAGACCCTTTGCGCTGGGCCAACGGGCGCGCCGAGGCATCCAGCCCACCGACGGCCCCTTCGTCGACGAGATTGACGCCCCTGCGTTCACGCTCGCGCTCCGGTGACGGCACCGACAGTAGCTCCTGTCCTCCACCATGGACCGCAGCAAGGTCTGGCAGGTCCGGATCGAGGATGGGGCGGTTGACCGAGAGCCGTCGATGCGATTTGAGCGCCTCTACTTCTCGCTGGAACTCGGAGTCGGTGATGTTCATTGAGGGCGCCGACATGGCTGGAATCCGTGACTATTCCAGCCGAGGCGCTCGACGCTGACCTGGTCCGGCGAGGACAACGGCGCCGAGTCGCTTGGATCGATCCTCGAAATCGGGAGAAAGTTCGCGGTTGCCTCCGTACGGGCGATCAGGCGAGAGGCATCAGAAGCGAGCGACCGAGCAACGATGAAGGGAGCCGAGTACAGCGAGCCGGCCAGTGATACGCGACACTCGGAACGCGCTGAGAGGAGGGAGGAAAGGGGGTGACGTGGAGTGATGCGGTGCTGCGGCGGGATGCGATGGGGTGCGGGACTGGTGCAGAACACGAGCTGCGGAGGTGGCGGTTATTGAAGGTCGTAGGCTGATCGCATGCAACGAGGTGATCAATGCGGACTGGGAGCCCGATTGGATGTTCGAAGGCCAGAGGTGTGTCGTCTTGTGCTGCTGCCGCTGCTGCTGGTGGTGCTGGACAGCTGGCCGGGTCAGAAGCGGCCGCCGTAAGAACCGCGGTCTGGGCGGTGATGGAGTGGTAGATACGTGCGATCTAGCCCGACGTGGGTGGAGGAGACGAAGCAGGCTCGTGTGCGGGCGGGCGGGGGCGGGTCGAGCTCGTTTAGTGCAGCCTAGCGTGGCGGGAGAAATGAGCGCGGATGGTTCGAGTGGGGCGAGGTGAGCGGGACCCCGGGCGGGAAAGGGGCTGGCGACTGCTCTTTCGTCGAGCTGTGACCGAACGGAGCCGAGAGAGAGGGTCGGAAAAGAGTGAGAGACGAGGAGAGGGAGGGAGAGAAAGAGGTGTTGGAGGCCAGGACGGTGGAGCGAAAGGCGTGGCCGGATCGACGCCAGAGAGAACGAGAGCGAGGGCGAGGGAGCATGGAGAAGCAGCAGGCGGAAGCGAGGCAGGTGGCATGCCCGGGGCAAGCCAAGGTCGAAGCCAGCCCACAGCCTGAGTGCAGGCGTGCGAGCGTGCGTGCGTGCCCGGCCAGCGAATCCGTGCGGGCGGTGGAAAGCCAAGGGTCGGAGGCCTCTGGCCTGCCTCGCCTAGCCTTGCCTGAACTGGCCCAGGCAGCCGGGGCTGGGGGAACGCTCCAGCCAGCCAGGCCAGGCCAGGCAAGGCCAGCCAGCCAGCCACACAGACGGCGCAGCGGGCGCAAAACGCCGAAGCTGGCAGAAAAATCAGGGGCCTGCCTGCCACCGGCCAGCCTCGAGGGGGACCCTACGCTGCCTGCCCCGGCTGGCGGGACAACACCCTAGCTTGCACTGGCCCTATCGGGGGCTGCATCCTCATTCTCAGTCTGCCTCGGCCTGCTTCCAGAGTGTCGGCCCGATCCACAGGATCCACAGGATCCACAGGATGCACCGCTGACCGTGCCGTGCCATGTCGGCCGGCCAACCTCATGGACCGGACAATGCAGGATCCAGAGCCGTTTGATCGACACCGTGGCTGGCGCCTGGAGATCCGAGAACGATGAGGAGTCGTGGGGCGAGGCAGGAGCGAATAAGACTCCAACGAGCTGGGTCCGTCGATGGCATTGTGTCGACGCCATGGCCCCCTCCTTCGTGCCGTACGCGTGCTGCGCGCCTTGGACCGCTTTGCACCGCCACCCTCTCCTCCGAGCCGCAATCTGCACAGGCGAAACCGTTCAGTCAAGCAGCGAGCACGCCGAGCAAGATGACGCTGTCCGAAGGTGCCGGCGGCGAGACCAGGCCGGCACAGCACGGCCCTCTGCCGCCTCATAGTCGGGACCGGTCGGCGTCGAGGACTGTTCGAAACCCTCTATCAGTGATGGGGATGAAGAGTGGCGAGGTTTGGATTCCTTGATCAACATCGCAGCCGGGCAGGCCGCCCTTTGCGGCGGCGTCTATACATGCAGTGAGCCAATCCACGCTCTACACGGCGGGAGCAGATGCGCTGGACAGGGCCAAGGCCGGGACGCTCAGTAAGGGCGCGCGGCAGCCTGGCAAGCCTTGAGCTGCTCGAGGTAGTAGGAGCACGAGTTCATGTCGTTGGCTGAGAGGGCGAGGAGAAAACGAGGAGCGTGGAAGCAGCAGCAGCACCAGGCAAAGGTCAGCACTCGTCATCGTCGGAATGGGTGCAGCGTTCATGGTGAATCTGGCAAGCCTGGCCCACTCACTGCTCTCGAGGCACTTGATGAAGTCACGGCTCTGCACCTCGCAGTTGACGCCGGCGTTTTGCTGCTGCGAGTAAGCCTGGCTCTGGTCAAAGGCAGGCTGGGGAGCCTGGGTGGCCTCGGCGGCGGGCTCGGATCGTCCGCCAAAGAGCATGTTGGACAGTCCATGGCCGACCGTGGAGCCGACAGCGACACCAGCTGCCGTCGATGCCATCTACGTTTGGCAAGGTCGGTCGCAGTGCACAGGAGAGGGGGAGGAGAAGATCGTCAGCTCCCTCGCACGGCCACCGAGCGGGATGAAAGCTTCCAAGAGCCAACGTACCTGGCCGAAGAGTCCAGGGCCAGCAGACTGAGCAGCGGGCGCAGCGGCGTGCTGCTGAGGTGCGGCATGCGGCTGAGCGGCAGCAGGCGGCGGCGCAGAGTAGGCAGCGGGGCGGTTGGCAGCCATGGTGTGGGCACCGCGAGAGCCAGAGGGGGCGGCGCGGGAGCCACCGGAAGAGCGAGAAGAGCGAGGCATGGGGGGCGAAGTGAGGGGCTTGGTGGCGGAAGGCGTCGGGATGGAACAGTGCTGAGCAATTAGGTCGATGGTGGTGGGACGGTGGCAAGCAAGGAGCAGGCTAGGGTGGGTGGTGGCAACGTCGGACAAGGTGAGTCCAGGCCAGGGTCAGCCGAAAAGGCCTTGCCAGGCGTCGCGGCCAATCACGGCGGCCCGCCCGTTGCCTGGGCCAGGCAGGCCGGGCCAGCCGGGCCAGACAGGAAAGAAGGCGCTGGCTGACACGAGGTTCGGCAACGTGCGCGCGAGGGCGATTTTCCGGTTCCCGAAAAAAAAGAGCAGCCCTGCAAGGAAGCTTCTCGAGGCCCATCAGCCCCTCGACCCGGCCTCAGACACCCGCAGCATTAGCGAAAGATGGTTGCGACATGAAGACGCCGAGCATGGAGGTACAAATACAGAGGATTGGACGAGTGGAAGCGAGGAAGAGACGGGGGCGGGGGCTCACGAGGATGACGACGACGATGGCGCTGTCGTGTCTGCTGCCGGGGCCTTTGCTCGTGGCCGACGACGCTTGCCTCGACGCACTGCCTTCGTGGATGGCGGAGCAAGCAGCCTGCGATACCGCGAGCTCTGGCACAAGCCGCAGACGCTGGAGTGCGCCTCGTCGGATCCATCCGCGCCAGACCTGTTCCGCTCCTCTGCACCGCGGCGGGACGGCTGGCGGGCGCAGTTGACGCCGGGCAACCGGGGCAGCCGACACCTTGGACACCGCCCGTTGTGCAGATCGAACCATTCCGGCAGTACCTCATTCGAGGCTAATGGCGGCGGCAGAGGTGCCTCGCGCTGTATGCGCACATTGGGCTGGTGCGAATGGGCGATGTTGGGGACGTCGTCGCCCCACAGACCGCGGCGATGGCGGAACGAGGGCGCCGGCTGGGATTCGGGCGCCGCGCCGTATGCCGCCAGCCTGAGGAATGCGTCCGAGTGGTGCGAGGACAGCTTGGGCATCGTCAGCGCTGTTGCCTGGGCCACGGCCTCCTGGTGCAGGGCCTGGAGGGTGTTGGCGGCCTGCGACAGGGCCGACTTTGACGAGCCGCTCGTGCCAGGACCGGAGCCCGTCTTTGCCTGGAGCAGATGGAGATGGGCACAATGCAAAGCAAGCAAGGGAGGTCAGCCTTCCAGCCCCGTCATGGGAGGCGAGTGCGTCAGCTCGTGGACTAGGGCTCACCGCTCGTCGAGAGCTCATCGTGGCGCGGAGGATGGTGGGGAGGGGGGAAGCCGGTAGGAGGAAACCGACGGCACGCCCGCGAAGAAGGAAAAAGCAGACGACGTGGAGGCATCGGACCCAAACACTAGCGTGGGCGTGGCCAGCGTGGCAGGCCAGCCTGCGACCTTTCGGCCAGGCCAAAGGTGTGGGGTGGGGCGAGAACGCTCGAGGCCGGCGGGGCGGTGGGGCCACCAGCTTCTCGCTGGCGTGCCAGGTCACTACTCTGCTGTCATTCCATCGACTTTACTCCTCTTCCAACTTGCTTCTTCTTGCTGCTCCTCACCGTCGTCGACCCCACGCTCCCGCCGCCCGCCTCAGGCTCGATTGCGCTGCCATCGGCCTACGGACCGACCACCCGCCCGCACCACCCGGAGCTGCTCCGCCTGTCGGCTGTTCCGTGCGCTCCTCGAGACTCGACGGCTGAAGCCGCGGTCTGGCCTTGTCGAATCGCAGCGAGGCATCGGCGAAGCCGCAGCTTGGCAACCAGGCCGCCGCACGCTCTCGCTCCTCGGCATCAAAGCGCTCTCGCCTCACTTTTCAACTCCAAGACGAGCAGGCAGCACGAGACACGGACGATCCATCTCGACGGCTGGCTGCGGCCGCGCTCGCGGGTGACCATTAGCAGATTGGCCTGCTGTCGAGCATCATCCCCCCACGCTCCCGCCCTAAGGCCCTCGTATCAACATGCCAGGAGCAGCGACTCCGGCCATCACGCCGGAGCGGATAACGCTCTATGGCATCGCATCCTCCGTCGCCGCCGCCAGCGTCGTCTTTCGCGCCTTTCGCGAGAGGTCCAACTTCTATGCCGCCACCGTCTGGCTCGGTCGCAGCAATGGCTGCATGCTCGTGAGTCGCATCGGATAGGCTCTCCAGACCATGCGCCCAAGGCTGCGATGGCGCTGACGTCTGAAATGGGATGTCCTCGCCACTCGATCTTCTCGACAGGTCCTGCTCAACTTTGTCCTCTTCATGACGCTCGTCTTTGGCCGCGTGGTCCAGAAGATCTTCTTTGGACAGCTGAGGGCTATCGAGATCGAGGTGAGTGCATCCGCCACGACGCAGTCTTGCTCGCACGTCGTCCCTCGCAGCTGCTCACCTTGCCCTCGCCTTTCTGGTCTCTATTTGCCGCGACAGCACCTCTATGAGCGATCGTGGTACTCGCTGGTCGACACCTTGTTGGCCATGGCCATCTTCCGCGACGAGTTCGACGTCAGCTTTGTCCTCCTCTTCGGCACGCTCCTCTTCCTCAAGGCCTTCCACTGGCTCAGCGGCGACCGCGTCGAATTCGTGAGTGACCTGCCCACTCACCCCACTTCCTTGGTTGCTCTCGTCGTCCCTGAGCACACATCGGCTGCCGTCTCGCCCTCTTCCAGCGCTGAACTTACCTGTCTCTTGCGCTCCGTCCCCCGCCATCTTCGGTCCCGCTAGATGGAGCAATCGCCCTCGGTCTCGCGCCTCTTCCATGTCCGCATGGTGGCCATCCTCTGGACGCTGCTGATCGTCGACGTCTTCCTGGTCGGCTTTGTCGTAGAGCTGCTCCTCTTCAAGCAGACCAAGATCGGCATCATGATCCTGTTCGCCAGCGAGGTGAGTCGTCCCGTTCCCGATCCCGCCCAGCACGTCCTGGTTCGCCCCAGAATGGCCTGCTCGGCTTTCGCCAGCGCGAGGGCTGCGAGTTCAGCTGCTGACACCCGCACATCCCCCTTGCCGCCTGGCGCATCGACGCAGTTCATCACCTTGATGATCTCGTTGTGGTCGACCATCGCCAAGTACCTCATCAACTGCCAGGACCTGCGCTCCGACGAGCCGTGGGAGGCCAAGAGCATGTACATCTTCTACGTCGACCTGTGCAACGACGTCCTCAAGCTCGCCACCCACCTCTCGTTTTTCGTCCTGCTCACCAGCTGGTACGGCCTGCCGCTCAGCCAGATCCGCGACCTCTACGTGACGGGCCGGTCGTGCGCGGGCAAGATCCGCGACCTGATCCGCTACCGCGCCGCCACCAAGAACATGGACTCGCGGTACCCGGACGCCACATCGAGCGACATGCGCGCCATGAGCGACGGCACCTGCATCATTTGCCGCGAGGACATGGTCGTGCGCGACCCGGACGACCCTGCATCGTCTTCGCAGCCGACGCCGTCGAGCTCGAGCCACGGCCTCAATATGACGCCAAAGCGGCTGCCCTGCGGACACATCTTCCACTTTCACTGCCTCCGATCGTGGCTCGAGCGCCAGCAGAGCTGCCCCACCTGCAGAAGGTCGGTGCTCGAGGAGGCGTCGACGGCGCCACCGACAGGAGCCGCCCCACCCCTTCCAGCAGCCGCGCCCCAGCCCGGTGCGGCTCCGACTCCGCCGCCCACACGCCAAGCGGGTGGCGCAGCAAACGCTCAGCCCGGCGGATCCGGGACGACACCGGGCGCAGCTGCAGGCGATGAACGGGCAGATGGCGCGCGCGGCTTCGACCGTCGCCTGCAGGAGTTCTTGCAGCGCATCCAGAGCGACGCCCGCCGGGTGCGCGACGAGGGCAACGCTTCGGCCAGACGTGCCGGGCGCCAACATGGCCGCCGGACCCCGCGCGGCGATCAGGCAGGGGCGGAAATCGGAGCGCACTCGACACCCGCGGCCTCAGCACCCGCATCAGCTTCAACTTCGACGACTCCGACGCCAAACGCGTTCGATGGTGCAAGACCAATCGCGAGCGCTTCGGCTCCAGCGTCGCGTGGTATCGCAACGCCGCCGCGCTGGCCGGGACGAGGCCTCGGGCCGATGCTGGGTCGATCGAGCCTGTCGCAGGCATACCTGCCCCACGCCGACGCGGACGGTGGTCTCTGGGTGGCCCCTCCGCCCGAGACGCTCGAGATGCCGTGGACAAGAACGAGGCTGCGAGTTGGGAGAGGAGCCAGCAGGGCAGAAAATGCCGCAGAACCGGACGCTGCTGGCGCAGCCGAAGCGGCCGACGCGGTCGCCGTTGATAAGACGACGGAGACAGCGACCGAGGAGACGCGGCCCGAGGACGAGTCCGGCGATGACGACGAAGAGGAGGCCGTTGACGAAGCGGCTCGGGCACGAGACCATGCCCTAAAGCTCAACAGCTGGCTGGACGCGCTGCAGCAGAAGCAGCAGGCGAGCAAGGCGCCCGGGAGCTCGAGCACGGCTCCAGTCGCCGAGTCTGCAGTCCCGGACCGCGGACCGCAGGAGCAAGGGCAAGGAGCCACGGAGGATCGACCGGACACGCCGCGTGCAGCGACGGAGCGAGAGGATGCCACCGCGCCGCACCTGATCCCGCTCTTTGACCCGTCTCGCATCCCGCACTTTGAGTCGGTCCACGTCCCCTCGCTGCCCTACCAGCTGCTTCCGCCCACTCCGACGACGGCAGCCGCTGCAGCGCACCGTGGTCCCACGTCATCGTCGCTCCTGCGGGACCTTGGCGCCCTGTCCGATGAGGACCTGCAGCGCATGGCGGACGGGTCGCGAGCCGGGCTTGAGGCATACGTCCGGACGCTGGGCTTGATCCAAGCGGACGTGTCGAGCCTCGTCGAACAGCTCACTCGCGTCCTCTCCGTCGATCCACTTTCGAACCGCGGCGGTCGAGAGCTGGCGGAAGAGGGAGAGGACGACGACGAGGTGCCGACCAGGAGGCGAAGTGGAAAGGGAAAGGCGCCAGTGGAAGGCATGAATGCCGTCTAACTTGGTGGTAACGTCCATGCAATGTCGAATGTAGTAGTGTCGCTCTCCCCTTTACGAGCTTGGATACCTGGTATTCGCTGCCCCCAGCCCTCACGGCGAAAGGGTACAATGGTTCGGCTCGAGGGCGGGCGTGCACTGCGAGGGTTCGGAGCGGGTCGGCGGTCACCCGTCGTCGTTGATCTTGACCCGTTACGGGCGGTTTGCGCTCGTGCGCAGGCGCTTTGAACGGCGGCGACCGTCGTCCGGTGTATCGTCGTGCGCCTCGAGCTTGACGTTGACGCTGGCCGCCGAGTCAGGGCTCGTCAGCTCCGGGTCATCGTGCACTTCGACCTTGACATCGGCGTTGGCCGCTGCGATAGAGCGCGTAGCATCATCGGCGGCGGTCGGCTGCGAGCAGAAGGGACGGGGGCCATGAGCGGGAGTCCAGAGCTCCCGTTTGAATGCGATCTGAGGCGAGGAGGTAACGACTCACCTCTGAACGAGATCCCGACGGCGCCGGCGCCGAGGGCACGATGCCGCTGGCCTCGAGCACGTCTCTTGAGGCGTAATAGTAGGTGAAGATCGCGAGGGCTTTCGCATCCCGGTACTCGTAAACTTGCTCGAGATCGGGCAACCGCTTGGTCTTGCGGCGCTCGCCGAGGCTGAGAGAGGAGCAATCCACTCAAGGGTCGGTAGGTCAGTCCGACGGTATCAGGCACTCGGGCCGTGGATCCACAACAGCGCTGTGTCTTGTCCGTCGGGATACTCACGCTATCTTGTGGCTCGGCGGGATGCCGCCGCGGTTCTTGCGGTCAGTAGCGGCATGGTCCGACACGTTGCAGGGGTCGGTAGCTGCGCCGAACCAGGCCCGTCGCTTGGTGCCTAGGATCTTGACGCGATGCACGGCCACCTCGATGCAGCCGAGCTCCGTCTCGTCCTCGTCGTCAGGCTCGTCCTCGTTCTTGATGCGTGCGATCTTTGCGAAACTGTCAACGTTGGGAAGGGACCCGCTCGCTTTATGTGAGAAGGTGAGGAGAGGCGGTTCGCGAAGGGTAGAACGGGGGGGGCCGAGCCATGGGGTACGATGGTGCTTACCGAAGGAGACGCTCCTCGTCGCGTCCGCAGGGCACGCAGTCGAGCGGGAAGTCGAGGCCGGTGCCCTCCTCCCAGTGCCATACTCCGTCTACCTCCACTCCGTCGATGGTAAGCTCGACGACGAGGTCGTCCGAGATCTCCTTGTCGCGACGAAGGAACAGCTCAAAGGCCGTGTCGTCGATGGAACACACGTACGTCGATCGAGCGGCGCGACCTTTGGCCGAGGTTTGGAACTCTTCCAACGTGTCTCGGCCGCCGTTGCCGTCGGGCACACGGATGTTGGCGGTGATCCCCTTCAGTAGCATCGGTTTAGTGAGAGGGGCAAGAATGGATGGAGATAGAGACGGTCGAGATACGGGCGATGGCGATGCGGCGACTGGATGGAAGAGGAGGGGAGGGCTCGACCGCGGGGCGCGACGGGTCTGGCTCGCTCGCGGGCGGGGCGTGCCCATCCAGGCCTGGCCGGCCAGAGGGCTGAAGACAGGCAGGCAGGTCAGCGCAACTGGGCAGGCGTGGCCCGGTCAGACGCAGGCAGGCAGGCCAGGCCAGGACAGGCTACGCCACGCCACGCTAGGCCAGGCCAGACGAGCGCGTCCCAGCTGCACCCCCAGCAAGCGTGCGTCACAAGGTGGTCTGACCGCCTCGCCCTGCCTACCCGTCGATCTGGTCCTTGGCTCGCTGCTCCTCCTTCCACCACCAACCCCACCGCTACCCCCGCCTCCATTCAGCCAGCCAGTCGAGCCAACGCGGCCCCTCGTCCAGCCCTGACAGCGCCATCGACCATGTTCGACCGTCTCCCTTCGCTCCCCTCGCTCCCCTCGTTCCCCTCGATCCCCTCGCTCCCCGCGCTTCCCTCGACCCACTCTCTTCCCTCTCTTCCGCGCCTGCGCCTCTTGACGCCCGCCATCAGGATGCCCATCAAGATCTGTGGCCCGCTGATCCAGTTCGGGTGAGTCTCGAGCGGTCTCACCGTCCTCGCAGGCTGTCCCTTCCGTGCGCGTGCGTGCTCACGCCATCCGCCACTCTGCTCTCGCCTCTGCGCGCCGCAGCGCCACCGCCGAGGTCTACCTGGTCATGCTCTGCCTCCTCGTCTACGCCACGTACAAGTACGTGCTGCTCGTGCACGACATCCTCCAGTCGTACCCGCTCCTTCCCGACCAAGCTCCTGCGCCCACGACCACGTTGCCAGCCGCGGGTCCGGGCGGCGACGCGCACCCACCCTCGTCGCCGGGCACGGTGAGGGCCATTGACGACGCCGAACTTGTCGATCTCAGCGCCGCGAGCGCCGACGACGAGGCCGACGGTGATAGCGCTTGCCCCAGCTGCGGTCTGGCAGTCTGCGGAACGGAGGCCGAGGACCGCGTCGTGGCCCTCGAGGACGACCACAGGATGCCGAGCCGCGTCAAACGCCCTCGTCACCCGACCACCTCGCCCGCCTCGCCCAGCGCCCGCTTCGCCCAGCCCGCCGAAGAAGGGGCCAAGAGAGTGGCGCAGCTGTCGGACGAGACCATCTCGGGCACCGACTCGGCCTGCATTGTCGAGGACTAGCTCGTTGCACCATCGCAACGAGGCCGCGGAGGGGACAACGTGCTCGCAACCCCACCGCCCACCTGCCGCCGACCCCTGCACCATTCGATCGCTGCCAGCAACGACGCCACTCCATTGTCACTCAGCTCCTCCTTGACAGGCACAAACGACCCTCGGCACTCCAAAGGCAACCCCAGCTTCCGCACCCAGCGCGTCAAGGTCAACACGTCGCTACACATCGTAGCACTCAATCCCCGTCGGACCCGCCCATCCATCTCAGGCCCCCAATATCCGATCCAGCATCCCCAGCGAAGGCAGGATCCAGTCCTGACGCAGGAATGCCAGTCCGTCCCCTCCTTCTTCCGCATCTGCATTGACTCCGTCCTCGTCGTCTCGGCGCCCGGGCCGTCCAAAAGCCGAGGTCAACGCCAGCCAGGTCGCATCCCAGTTTCTGCGCGCCAGCGCAGCGTACAGTGCTTCGCCCGCGCGTCGGATCTTGTCCGGCTGCCGTCGGTCGAGGCAGGCGAGGAGGTGCGGGTTGCAGGTGATGGACCACGCCACCTCGTCCGACATCCTGACGCCCATGTGCGTCGTCACCTTGGCGAGGGTGGTGAGGATCGACAGCACGATGTGCGCCGGCACGCTGCTGGACGAGGCGAGGATGAGCGGCGGCGTTCCCCTGTGGCGTCGTCGTCCTGCATCCGTGGCGTCCAAGCCAGAGGACGGGGCGAGACGGCGCGCAGGATCCGTTGCGGCTTGGCGTGGATGCGATGCCGGTCCGAAGCGATGGAAGAGGACGAGGAGCAACAGCTCGAAGCGCGGCCATGCCTCCCTCTCGAGCCGCTTGCCGACGAACTCGACGACCTCCTCGGCCAGCTTTTCGACGAGCCGGACAGCTTCGATCCACACAAAGGGTTCCGGCTCGCTCAGTCCCGCCTCTACTTGTTCGCCCTTGCGCGGGATTCCCGCCGAATCGAGATTGAGGATCCGTTTCCGTGCCGTCGGCTTGGACGTGGTGAGCGAGGATCCGAGACGGGCCATGAGAAAGGGCCAGAACGAGTTGACAACGGGGAGGAGCTCGGCCTCTTGGTTCTGCGAGCCGAGGACCGAGACGCCGTGCCGTAGGAGGTGGAGCACCGAGGCGCGGAGCATGCTCGACGGGTGCGAGAGGAAGGGGAGCGCCTTGACCATGATCTGGCGCACCACCGTCTGTGTCTTGGTCGGCTTCGGTGTCGTCCCGTCGTCCCTTGTGGGAGAGGCGGATGCAGTACCGGGTGCAGGTGCGGGCGGAACGGCGTCGTCGTCGAGCTGCTCATCGTCCGGCGGGCCCGACTGCGTCTGACGCCGATACCACTTTTCAAACTCGACGAGCGCATCCGCGTCCCCGTCCCCGTCCCCGTCCCCGTCCCCGTGCACACGCGGTACGGCATCGTCGGGTCGTGGCTGCGGCTGCTCCGCCTCGAGCCTGGTCCGATCCGCTTCTTCGGCCGCGAGGACCTCGAGGACGCTATCGAGCACGCCGAGGAGACCGGTGCACACGTCGCGGTGGGCGTGGAAGCGGTCGAGGGCGTCCATGATCTCGTCGACGGCATCCTCGACCAGGGGCACCACTTCCGATCCGAGCATCTTGATCATCTCGACGAGCACCATCGGTGCGCGCTGTGCCGAAATCAGCGGCGTCGTCACCGTCGCCTCGACGACCCCGTCATCGTCTGTGCGATCGCCCGGTCCCGCCGCCGCGGCGACGTCAAAACGGCTGCGCAGCTCCTCGTCCAGTCCGGAAATGAGACGCTGGCACGCGGCGCCGAGGAGGTAGTCGGCGTGGTCGAGCACGCAGCTCTGCACGCTGGCGTAGGCGCTAGCATATGCAATCTGGCGGAAGGCGCGCTCCGCCCCGTCGCGCAGCGCCGCATCCGGCGAGGCGAGCGCAGACGTGAGCGGGTAGATGGCGCGGAGGAGGAGCGGCCGGAACGACGTGCCCAGCATCGTCGCCGTTGACGAGAGCAGCGAGAGGAGGTACGCGTTGCTCAGGCCCTGCGACGTCTCGGCCCGTGCCAGGCGGGTCGCCATCGTCAGGCGCTGCTGCCCCGCCGCGCCCGCGCCCGAGCCTGAGGTCGTCAGGCTGCCTGACCCGCCTTTGATGGTTGCTGCACCGACAAACGCCAGGTCTAGCGCTGGGCCGAAGCGCTCCGGTCGCTCGTGGCTGCCGACGTCGATCGAGAGTCCCTTGACCCTCTCCACCAGCGCATCCCCGCCGTCGCGCTCGCTGATGGCGGTCTCGGTGACGTCCCTGCGCGCGCCGCCTGAGCCTCGAGCGCCGCCGTGTTCCCGGCTGCTCGCCACCAGGCTGGCTTCGACGACCTCGTCCCAATCGCCCTCCCAGAGCTCGAGCACCATGTCAAACACCTGCCTGCCAAACTTGTGCGCCAGCCTGCGCAGCCTCCTGCCCACGTCGGCGCTCTGGGTCGCCAGCTTCGAGTCGTCGAGCTCTTCCGCCACGCCGCACAGCAGCTCCGCAGCGATCATGAGCGCCGTCATGGAGCGCGCACGCAGCGCCTCGATGGCGTCGTCGCCCGTCGTGCCGACGCGGCAGGTGCGGGACCGAGCGCCTTGCCGGACAAAAAAGAGGATCAGGTGGAAGCTCGAGGTATCGACTTTGACCTTGTCCTTGGCCTTGGCAGCAGAGCCGTCCGACTTGGTCCTGATAGCGGCGGTGGCGACAGAGGCGCAGGCGCGTCCGAATGAGCGGAACATGTCCGTCACGCTGCGGCCCGATCCGGCCTGCAGTCCTTCAAGCGACATCCGAGGCGGCCAGTCGGTCCCAAGATCTTGCTGTGCTGTTAGGAGCACAGGGTTGACGCGCAGCGCATCGGCCAAGCCTAGCCCCCAGCGCTCGATGCCACCGCTGGCGCCAAACAGGTGCGCAAGGCCGCGGATGGCTTCCGGCGAGCTGATGCAGCGCACCCCAGCATGCGGATCGGCACCTGATCGCGCCGGGAGAGTGCCGCTAGCCAGCTTGACGGCTGTGCCCAGTCGAATAGCCAGACGCTCCACCTTGACGTCGTCCTGGGCGCGGATGGCTCTGGGCAGTTCAGCCAGCCCTCTCGCGATCATGGTCGAGAAAGCGGCGAGCGTCCTCGCTCTGGCCGGCGGCGGTGACGGGTGCGAGGAAAGGACGTCCTCGTCGCCGTCAAAGAGCACGGCGAGCGCCTTTCGGGCATCTGCGCTGACGGCCTCGATGTCGTCGTCTCCGGCCGAATCGACGATCCACGAAAGCAGCATCTCTACCGCGCTCTCGCGCGAGCCTGCAGCCGCTGCTGCCGTCGCTGGCTGTCCCAGCTGGACATCGAACCAGGCGAGCGTCTCGCCCATGTGTACGATGAGCGAAGCAGCGAGGCTGATGAGGCCGCGTCGGACCGACGAGGAAGCGGGCGCAGAAGAGACCGTCCGCGTCGAAAACGGCGTGGCCAGGAGCGAAAAGGACCGCAGGGCGATCTGGATCCGCGCCAGGGTCGACAGCAGGTACTTGCGGGCCGTCTCCTCGACTGGCGGTTCCAGAGATGGGGATCCATCGTCGTCGCCCGCAGCCGACGGCCCTTGGGCGTCTGTCCCGTCACCTGCGTCGTTCTCGTCTGCCGAAGCGTGCTCCTCAACCTCAGCCTCGGAACGAGCGAGTGACTCGGCGATGCTGGTGAAATCGTCGAGCGTCATGATCTTGGACTGTCGCCCATCGACGCCGTCGACCTCAGCGGCCTCCGTCTCGCCTGTGACCTGAGCCTCGGTGGCTGAGCTCTCGCCATTCTGACGGAACGCTCTCGTCGCAGCGTCGCCGAGGCTGAGAAGTACCATATCTCGAAGCATCTGCAGTGCGATGGCGACCAGAGCACCTGGTGTCTCCTTCTTTCGGGCGGTCGCGCTTGGCTTGAGGCGGCTGGATATCAAGCGGGTCAGGGAGCTGGTGATACCAGGCAGAAGCGGCCGGACGCGAGCGGCCGATCGTTGGGACAGAGTGTCGGAGTCCACGGTGGGTCCCGCAGGTGCCGGCTCAGGATCGACATACGTCAGGGTCGGGATGTGGAAGTCTCGATGCTCGTCTGAACCCTGGTCCTCTTGCGGGTTCTCGGCGCGGTCAGACGAGGCCGCGGCGATCCAAGTGACGAGGATGGTGTAGGAGACGCGCAGGCTCGAAGTCCGCAAATCGACCATTCGCTCGCCTTGACAGGCCAGTTCGAGGCACGAGGTGAGGGCGTGTCCGAGCGCTCCCTTGGCCGCCGTGTCGGTGAGAGCGAAGCTGAGGTGGGCGGGGCTGGGATACGCCTGGCGTCTCGGTAGAGTATCGTGGTCCTGAGCCTGTGCCTCTGTCGCCGCTGCGGTCGTCTTTCCGAGCTGCTCCTGTTCGGCTTCGAGTTCGTCGAGAGAAGGCAGCTCGGACTCGCCGTCCCATTCCCAGTCCTTGTTCTGCTGCTTTGCCTCCGGTCGTGGCTGACTGCGAGCAAGTGGCGGAGGTTCCTCGAGGCGCGGCAGCAAGAGTTGGTGGAGAAAGTTGGCAGCAGCCAAGCGGGTTTCGTCACTGAAGGTAGCCTGTGAGGTGGACGGAGATGACGACGGGCCGGACTCGGCCTGGCTGGGTGACCCGCCGACGGCAAGCGATGCGAGGATGACGAGCTGCTGCCACACGGCCCATTCGTGCTGCCCTGGCGCCTTCTTCTCCGCTACCAGAGGGTCCGAGGCCTGCTGCTGTTGTGGCGGTGCCTGTGACCACGCGCGCCACCACTGCGACGCGAGGAGCGAGAGGCACTCAAAGATGAGCTGGCGTGCATGGTCCGGCAAGTCGGCGGCGCCTCGGGGAGAGGCACGGAGAAGCTGTGCGATGGGAAAGAAGACGTAGTGGATGAGGGCGGGCGTCAGGGCGGGCGTGCCGTCTTCCTGGCGCTCGGTGGCGACGTCGGCGAGGACATGGGTGAGGCGCTGTAGGCTGGTGGAGAGGGAGCTTGGCTGGGCTTGTTGCCTGGGGTGGCCGATGCCGCTCCCGCTCCCGCTGCCGCCGTTGCCGGTGTCCGGGACGAAGCTGAGCAGCTGTACGCAGATGGGCTTGAGCCTCTGGAAAGGGCTGGCAGGTGTTGCGGCTGCGGAGGCGGAGGCCGCACCGGCCCGTGTTGGAGTGTGAGCGGCGCGGCCAGCCTGCAGAGGTGGAGGGTAGGGGCGCCCGGAGAAGGGGCTCGCAAACATGGCCAGGCCCAGCGAGCCGGCCGCGGCGGCGCTGAGAGGGAGGCGCGGCTAGCAGAAGGCGATAAGGAATGCAGCGGCTAAGGAGGCGGGCGCATGGGAAGCAAACGTCGGATAGAAAGCAGGAGGGATGGATGGTGGGATGGTTGGTGGTGGGAAGGGTCCGTCCAAGGCGCAGCGCCAACGAGCCTCGACAGAACGGCGAGCTTCCGCTCTGTATCGCTTTGGCCGTCGCCCGAGTTCCGGCTTGCCGCCGCCGACTTCCGATTTCCGTTGCCGAGGCAATCCTAGCTTGTGCCTGGCTGACAGACCTGTAGCCTGCCGCTGCAAGCGCGAGCGTGGCACGCCGAGCTACAGTAGTAGCTGCCTTTGCGAGCCTGGACAGCCGAAGCGCTGAGCCAGGCGTGAAACGAGGCTTTTTGGCTCTCTGACAGCTCGCCTCCCCCCACAGCCCCACGTCAACGACCGATGGATGACAAAAGGGCGTCAAGGCTCCATGGCGAGCAACAGCCAGGCCTGGCCTGCCTTACAAGCCCAGCCCTAGCGTATCGCCAGGATGGCCGCCGCGGCGGCGGCGGCGGCGGCGGAGGATTGCTGCTGCGCCACGCCGTGCCACATACGCCAACCTCTCCCTCCGTCGGAAGGCCCGGAATGGCCTGCCATTGAGGCAGGTCCACGCTGCTGCTAGGTACCACCGGCGACTACCTGGCACAGTGCCAACCTCGCTCCGACATCCGCTCCTCTCCATGTGTGGACCATGACGTGGCCTCGCTCCTCGAGACGCGCGGCCGACGACGTTGCGAGGAGCGTTGCCGGGCTGCCCAGCCTGCCCAGCCTGCCGTTCGGTAAGCCCTGTCAGGGTCCACGCCGTTCCTGCCGGCGTTGGCGGCGCGCGCGAAGCTGCTCCCCCCCCCTCCCCCCGCTTACAAAAACGTCGACGTCTTCCCGGGCCCCTCTCCTCCGCCCTCGCCTGGCTCCATCCTTCTTTGACCCTCTTGACGACGACCACGACTGCGACTGCGACTGCGACTGCGACCTCGACCACGTCCCCCTCCCTCTTTCCCTCGCCCTCCCCCTTCCCGCGAGCATGACAGTCCATCTCGACCTCGCCCAGGGCCTGCACCTGCCTTTGGTCGGCAGCCATGCCTCGGCCCTCTACCACTCACACCCCGTTCTCGCCCTGCTGGCCGGCCTGGCGCTGCTGCCTCTGCTCGCCACCCTCGCCCTCGCCGCCTTTCTCGTGTCGCTCTCCATCTACCGCATGGTGACGGTCAATGTCACCCGCACCGAGCCCTACGCCCATCTCCGCCGTCCGAAGCACGCCGACAACTTCTTCCCCTGGTACGGCGACTTCGGTCTCATCCGACGCCTGCCCCCCACCGAGCCCCACCTCCTCTGGTGCAGGACGCTCGAGTCGAGCGTCTTCGTCTACCGCGGCCTCTTCTACTCGCCCCGCCTCTTCCTCGGCGACCCGCGCGCCATGGGCTACATCCTCAGCGCCTCCAACTCGTACGCCTACCCCAAGCCCAACGCCTCCCGCCTCGTCCTCCAGTCGCTCCTCGGCAAGGGCGTCCTCGTCGCAGAGGGCGACGTCCACAAGCGCCAGCGAAAGATCCTCCAGCCCGCCTTTGGCGTCTCGGCCATCCGCGACCTCACGCCCTTTTTCTTCAAGTACTCGGAGAAGCTCGCCGCCAAGATCGGAGAGATGGTTGACCGCTCCACCCAGCCCATCGACGAGGACAAGGGCCGCGGCGCCAACGGCGTCGACCGCGCCTACCTCCACCAGTCGGAGCCCTCGCGCACTGCCAGCCGGCCGGGCGCGCCCGTCCTCGACGTCTCCTTCTGGCTCAACCAGGCCACGCTCGACGTCATCGGCGACGCCGGCTTTGGCCACATCTTCAACGGCCTCGACGCCGCCTACGACCCGACCGCGCCCGAGGGCGCCAGCGGCGACGTCATCAACGCCTCCTTCCAGCGGCTGATGAAGGCCATGTCGCAGATCGGCTTTGTCCGCTTCATGCAGCTCTACCTCTCCGAGTTCCCCGGGCTGGGCTGGGTGCGCAACCTGCCCACAAAGAGGCAGAGGGCCATCGACGGCACCTACGCCGCGCTCGAGACCGTCTCCAAGGCCATCGTCGAGCAGAAGCGGCGCGAGATCCAGGGCGAGATGGCCGACGAGATCCGACAGCGCGGCGGCGACGCCGCCAGCGCCGGCCCGACGACCGTTACCAAGGCCGATTTCGACGAGCGCGACGAGGCGGCGACGACGGTGCGCCAGGACGGCACCACGATCTCGGCGGGCAAGGACCTGCTGCACCTCATGATGCGCGCCAACATGGCCGACGACGTGTCGCCGCGCGAAAAGCTGAGCGACGGCGAGCTGATTGGCCAGATCACGACGCTGCTGCTGGCGGGCAACGAGACGACGTCGACCCAGACCGGCTGGGCGCTCCACATCCTCGGCGACCACCCCGAGGTGCAGGCCATGCTGCGGGCCGAAATCCGCGACCACTTTGGCGCGCGCATGGAGCGCCACGCCATCGGCTACGACGAGCTGATGAACATGCCCTATCTCGACCGCTTCGCAAAGGAGATGATGCGCTTCGCCTCGCCCGTCCCCTCGACGGTGCGCACCGCGACGCGCGCCGACACCATCCCGCTGTCCAAGCCCTACCCGACGCGCGATGGGCGCTCGACGTTTACCTCGGTGCCCATCTCGGCGGGGCAGGACCTCATCATCCCCATCCAGGCCATGAACCTCTCGACCGAAATCTGGGGTCCCACGGCGACCCAGTTCGATCCGGACCGATGGCTCGACGACCGCCTGCCCGAGTCGGCCAAAAAGAGCGGCCTGCCCATGCACCTCATGACCTTCATCGCCGGCCCGCGCGGATGCATCGGCAACCGCTTCGCCATCGCAGAGTTCAAGGCCCTCATCTGCTCCCTCATCGGCAGGTTCCACTTTGAAAACGTAGAGGGATGGAAGGTCGAGAAGAAGCAGGCCATCACCCTCCGCAGCAGGATCGAGGGTCAGGAGGACATCGGCCCGCAGATGCCCCTCCGCATCTCGCGCGTCGAAGCATAGCAACGCGGCGTAGCACCCAGCAGCGGCCAGTAGTGGTGGCAGCGGGCAGCAGGCAGCAGGCAGAAAGCAGCAGGCAGGGCGCGGGGTCAGCTCGGCCCGTCAGAGAAGCCGAGAGCTCCTCCCGTGCCACCCTCTTGTACTCACTCAGTCATCGCCCATGCGCGCGGTGGACGCCACTGGACCTTGCCTAACTTATTCATTCATCAGCTTTCCGTCTCCTGCCAACGATAATGGTCTGGCTGCCCGCGGACGGGTTGTGATGATGATGATCGATTCGCTGGGAACTTTTTCGTCGGTCCGATGCCGAGCGGTGGGTGAGTTTGTGAGGACGAGGGGAATCGACGAGGGTGGGGTGAATGCGGGACGGAGACAGCGGTATACAATGACGAAGGGAGACCGAGACGGGAGCCTAGCTAGAGAACGAACGAGGGGAAAGGGGTCGAGAAGGGAATCGCGGAACCGATACGTGTTGGACACACGAGAGAGAGAGAGAGAGAGAGAGAGAGAGAGAGAGAGAACGAAGGAGACGTCTAATGATGATTGATGATCGTGAGCGGCGGCGGCGGCGATGCGAGATCGGACCGCCTCGACTCGGCTCGACTCGCGTGGGGGGGCGAGGAGGTCCGGAGACATGCCGAGCGAGCTTAGTCGGAGCCGTTAGTGGCGGGCTTCTCGGTCGTCGCCGTTGTCGAGGTGCCGTTGGCGGCCGACGAGGGGTGGAGGATGGCCTTCTGCAGCGCGGGCAGCGACTGCTCACGGACAAACTTGAGGACGTTGACGAAGCGCGTCGTGGCGGGCACGTCCGGGTTGCGGGCCTCCTTGCTCAGGCGCTCGTAGGTCTCGGTGAAGGTCTCGAGGACGGGGCCGACGCGCTTGCGGCCCTCGTCGGGCAGATTCGAGGCAAAGGCGCGGACGCGGTCGAGCTGTGGAGGGGGGGTATGGCGGCGAGGGAGGAGGGTGGAGCGCTCGTCGGTCAGTGACACGTTCGCGAC